TTACAATCATGGTTTGATCGCTCCTGCTCTCTTGCTTGCAGGGTGAGAGATAGGGCATATCGAGCTATGAAACTATCTCCTCCTATTACCCACACCTCTTTCATTACTTCTAGGAATCGTTGTAAGGCTATTCTTCGTAGGGCCAAGCGGAATTTTATTAAAAGAAAGACTGCTGTCCTGACTAATTCTTCCTCTAGTAAATCCTTCTGGTCCTTAGCTAAAAACATCTGTAACAACTTCTGCACGCCTTCTTTTCCTCCCCTCTTCCGTCCCAATAACTCTATAGCCAACTCTCCCCCTGAGAAAGCCAACCTCTTTGGCACCTTATTCTCCTCTAATTCCACCTTAGACGATTCCCACTCTACCCCTCCTACCCCTGCACCTCCTACTGAACCTATGCACTTTCCTATAATCTCCACTCGCAGGGTTGCCGGTATGTTATCCAGGTTGGATGTGAGTAAGGCGCATGGACCGGACGGAATACCCCCTCGTGTTCTGAGGGAGTGTGCTGAAGCCCTGGCCCCTGTGCTTGCTCGCCTCTTTCGCCTTTGCCTCAAAACCAAAACTTTTCCTTCTTCTTGGAAGCATGCCTTGGTTCAGCCCATCCCGAAGAAGGGTGACCATTCTAATCCCTCTAACTATCGCCCCATTGCCCTAACTTCATCCCTCTGTGCTGTATCCTGCCACACTACCACCATGTGCTGTATACTGCCTCACTACTACCACCATGTGCTGTATCCTGCCACACTACCACCATGTGCTGTATACCACCATCATGCTGTATCCCACACTACCACCATGTGCTGTATCCTGCACTATCCTGCCTCACTACACCATGTGCTGTATCCTGCACACTACCACCATGTGCTGTATCCTGCCTCACTATTACCATCTTGTGCTGTATCCTGCCTCACTACTACCATCATGTGATGTATCCTGCCCCACTACCACCATCATGTGCTGTATCCTGCCTCACTACTACCGTCATGTGCTGTATCCTGCCTCACTACTACCGTCATATGCTGTATCCTGCCTCACTACTACCATCATGTGCTGCATCCTGCCTCACTATTATCACCACGTGTTATATCCTGCCTCACTACTACTAGTTGTATCCTGCCTCACTATTAACACTGTGTTGCATCCTGCCTCACTACTACCACCACATGTTGTATCCTGCCTCACTACTACTACTATGAGTTGCATCCTGCCTACCACATGTTGTACTACTACTACTATGAGTTGTATCCTGCCTCACTACTACCACCACATGTTGTATCCTGCCTCACTACTACTACCACATGTTGTATCCTGCCTCACTACTACTACTATGAGTTGTATCCTGCCTCACTACTACTACCACATGTTGTATCCTGCCTCACTACTACTGCTACTATGAGTTGTATACTGGCTCTCTACTACCATCACCGTGTGTTGGTTATATCCTGCCTTACTACTACCACCACATGCTGTATCCTGCCCCACTATTACCACCAGGAGCTGTACCCTGTCTCACTAATACCATCGTGTTATATCCTGCCCCAGTACTGCTACCACTTCATGTTGTATCCTGCCTCACTACTACTACTATGAGTTGTATCCTGCCTCACTACTACTACCACATGTTGTATCCTGCCTCACTACTACTGCTACTATGAGTTGTATACTGGCTCTCTACTACCATCACCGTGTGTTGGTTATATCCTGCCTTACTACTACCACCACATGCTGTATCCTGCCCCACTATTACCACCAGGAGCTGTACCCTGTCTCACTAATACCATCGTGTTATATCCTGCCCCAGTACTGCTACCACTTCATGTTGCATCCTGCCTCACTACTACTACTATGAGTTGTATCCTGCCTCACTACTACTACCACATGTTGTATCCTGCCTCACTACTACTACTACTATGAGTTGTATACTGGCTCTCTACTACCATCACCGTGTGCTGCCATCACCGTGTGCTGGTTATATCCTGCCTTACTACTACCACCACATGCTGTATCCTGCCCCACTATTACCACCAGGAGCTGTATCCTGTCTCACTAATACCATCGTGTTGTATCCTGCCCCAGTACTGCTACCACCTCATGTTCTATCCTATCTCACTACCACAACCACCACTTGTATCCTGCACCACTACTACCGTCACCACATGTTCAAACCTCCCTCATTACTACCGTATATTGTATTCTACCCCATTACCAACACCATGTGTTCTATCCTCCCCAAGCACCACCACATATATCCTACCCAACCACCACCACCACATAATAATGTTGGTCCCTCGTGTAACGAGGATGGCCGGCCCAAGGGCCACCTAGGCGTGAATTTGTTTAAGGTGTAGAAGCTGTCGCCAACACAACAACCACACCCTAAGCTAACGAGTTGCATGACCCTTTGTCAAGGAATAGTCCGAGAAGATCGGACAACTCGCCAACTGCACTGGCTAACCATTACGCCGGAACACAATCCGCAAATCGATTAACATCCAGGTTCCCAATTACTGCTGAGTAGACAGAGGCAAATGGCATAAAGAAACTTGCCCATAGTTCCACCCTGCCTGGGGACTGAACACAGGTCCGTTCGCTTGCAAGGTGAGCATGTTGACCATTACACCACAGGTCCTGCCTATCACCACCACCATCACATATCATATCCTGCAACACAACACCATCGATAGCAGTTGTCAACGTTTTTCATGTGTAAGTTTCCTTGGGCTACCATACAGCAGCACACAGTGCAATACAGTAAATGACACATCATCCCCATTGATGCGTTGAGTTTTTACATACACTTAGTGACGAACTTTGATCAAGAGATTCGCTATAATTCGATTTTTTTTAATGCAGTTATTACACAGAGAACTTTTAAAATTTTATCAGTACGGTCATAATAATTCTTATTTGGGAAAAACTAAGTAAGAACTTTTTCACTCATGCAAATACTGTATATGCAGCATACATTATGATACCGAATATGCATTTGTAGATTTGAGGCGCTCCGCATTAGAAAGGGGTGAAGCGACACCCAGGCCAAAATGCGTTTTTTGATGGATATCACTATTTTCACCCTTCCTCTACATGTTGGCATTGGATGTACCCCTCTAGCTAGAGTAGAAATATGGTAAAAAGTCCTTAAAATATAAGGTGTGATTTCGCCTGGAGCTACGTATCTGGCTGTGAGCACGGTCAAAGAAAGTGGTAACATTCCGTTCAGAGCGAGAGGAGTGCAAGCCAATGACATTGCACCTCCCTCGGACCATACCCTCTGCGGCAGCCAATCACAATGGATTCCCCCTTGCTACGTCATAGCTCCTCGGCCAATCCACGCGCCTAGATGCTGCCTCCTTCTTAGTTTTGGCGAGTATTATAGCATAAGGAGGTTCAGTGTACGTTCTACTGCTATTTTTGATAATTTTTCGGCGTAACATTGACGTTATTCATGTTCCACGGGTGTGAGAAGTGCTGTGCAATATCTGCCCGATATTAGAGCAAGACTCGAGTGAGGCCAGGCCTTCTGGTATGGGTTCAGGAGCCCATTATTTCCGAGTGTGTGTTTAGTGACGCCAGTGCTCAATTGGACACCCGAGTAATGCTTGGTGATAGTGATTTTGGTGGTGAATTTAGTGTTGATTATGGTGATACAAGTGCTATGGGCGATAGCGCAGGTGACGTGCATGAGAATGTTGGTGAGACATCCGCTTGTACAAACTCAATGCGACAGTGATGAAACAGATATAGAATACGATGATGATAATGAGCCACAACAGGATGAAAGTGAGTCTCTTAATGACAGTAACACTGTGATTGCAGAAAAAAACAATACACGGTACATCACGTTATGGACCATCGGAAGATCTTTTAAGAGAAGATGACTTACCTGTCGAAAATGAAAGTGCTATGAAGCATCCGAAGATCTTTTTGCCGACCAAGACGAGTTAAAAGACAATGTGGCATGCATTGACGATGATAATGACGGTGAAAGTGAGCTTGAAATAGATGAAACTGAGTATACCCATAATACAAAAAGTGACTGCTATGCATCACAAGACCATTTTGCCGACTGTGATCCAGTTCAGAGTTACGTAACATGCACTGACGGCAATAATGATGATGAAAGTGAAGATGAAAATGATGAAAGTGAGTCTAATGGTAACACAAACAGTGACACTAATGTATCATAACAAGAACATACAAACTGTGAGGAGGTAGAAGTGGACAGTGACGAGACATGCATTGACCTTGATGGTTATGAAAGTGAGCCTGACCCAACAAATGATAGTGAAAGTGAGCCCATAACTCAGTTTTATAATGAAACTGAACTGTTGCCGGCATCAATCATCAATGATTTAGTTGATGAAGAATCTGTGAGGCGATTTTTAGAGAAGGCAGAGCAAGATTTTGATCAGTACGTGATTGATAATGACGAGGCCATTAAAGTTATAGGCACTCCTCAGGATTTAGGTAACTTCAACTTACTATGATCTTCAGGGATAATAAAACGAAGGAACTAAACAAAGAAAGATTGTAATACTATTATCATAATACTGTTTTTACCTAAGATTATGCAAACTTTCTCTGCCTTTTTATTCGTATGTTAATTATGTTGGGGGAGGGGGGGGGAGAGGTTAATGGTGGGGAGGATGAGTGTAGTGGTGTTTCCTTATTATTACACACTATTATACTTAACAATATTATAAATCTTTGGCTAATAATAGGGACGGAAAGATAAATACTGATAGGCAAATGAGTTTTTTATTATTATTTCATTTTGAGGGGGGAAGTTTAGTGGGTTTATGGGGGGGGGTGTAAGACAAGTGATGTTTTTGGTGATCATTAACTTGTTTTGCATTATTAGCCCACAATAATAAGAAATTTTTGCAGAAAAACGTGATTATTGTTGGTTTGAAGATCAAACATACATGAGAAGGGTGTTATCCAGTGTGACTCCCACCAAACACCACAGGGTTCCCGGTCCCTGGTTTCCTCCTGTACTAACACAAGACAGACCAACCACTGAATGGCCAGTAAGCTGGAGAATATTATGAGAGTAAAAATAAAAAGCCTCCACTGTCAACAGCCAGTATCAACATTTGAACTCTCTTGAGATCAGATACCTGTACAACCTTTACAGCACTAAAAAAATAAAAAATCAACACATGGAATGTAAGTAAAAATGGTACTTACCTCTGGATCTGCTTTTCTAAACTCTGGGTCCTCTTCGTCCACTTCAAAGTAGAGTTCCGCTGCTGTGATGGAGACAGTGCCGGGTACCATCAAGCCAGGAGCAACAAGACGTGCTCTGGTGCTCATATTCACCATTCCTGAAGCAATTAAAAGATAATAATTGAGGTAAAACAATTAAGACAAATGTTATTTCATAAAGAATATAATACAGGATAATACCTACAATGTTTATGGTATATTTCACACAGTGAATATTCTAATTTTTATTTAAATATCCAGAACCTTTTATGGGATGGTGCACTCTCTACTCTGCAAAAACTAATTCATCACAAAATTCCTGTTAAGTTTTCGTAGCTTTAAATAAGCAATATTTTCACACTTCCATAATAATCTACTTAAAACATTCCTCACTCATCTCAATACTGCATATACTTTCTGAGAATTAAAGCCATATATTTCAAAATAAGAAAAAGAAACTATGTAATTTATTACATGAAATGTAGTGTAACACCTCCTTTACACGAGAGGGCCCCCCCCCCCTCCCCCTGGTAAGCAAGCTAGTAGCACCCACAGAGAAGTTTGGTGATGTACTAAGCACTCCCACTGAGGCAGTATATAAATGAAGAAATAAATTTATTATATATCATCAGAAAAATGGCCAAATTCCAGATACAGTCAAAGTCCTTCCTTGGAACCATAACTCAGAACAATACGATTAAAAAGCTGATAATCAAGCCCCTCTGACATCTTGTTGGGACACACCTTCATATAAAGTTAGGTAAAATCCATTACAATTTTGTTGGAATTTAGGAGAAACAGTCAACACATACATATTAATGACTGACCAACACATGACACTCATAAAGCTTGTTACCATTGGTAGTTGTTAATTTTATATTTTGCGTTGTTTTTACATCCGCACTACCTGTATAACTACTCAACTAAAGACTATTCACCTGTTACATCAGCATCAAGATCACGGTCATCAGTAGTAAGTTCTGAGTCATCCAAAAGGTCTGGTGATTGCAGGGGCTGTTGTAAGGACCTTCTCTGAGCTGCAAGTTGGGCATGAAATTCTTCTCTGGCCTAATGAAGGGAAAAACAAAAATTAGTACCCTTAACATGTAAATAAATTACCTTATCATGACAGGATTTAATAATTATAAGTCAAGGTACCCTCAGCATTCACATATTTATGGCTCTTATTTACTCAACCGACATTCTCTATCAGCAATCTGCCACCTAACAGTGTTCAAAGATTTTATTAGAGAAAGTTGTATTCAAGTTGATCTTACTTGAAGGATGGCATCTTCAGGAGCTCCATGTTCAATAGCAGCCTTCAGTGTAGCTTCAGGATGGGAGGAACCAAGAGGGTTTGGCACAAAACGTTTTCTCCGTCGTGAGTCGTCTTCCCACGAGTCTAGCTTCCAGAACTGAGGTGGTGCACTAAATGACAAAAATAACATATTTCAATAACAACTACATGAAGTCTCCAACAATGGGCACTATATAATTAAGTTTTTATGAATCAGCACAATAACTTAGTGTCAAACAATTTGTTCATAAAAAAAAAAATTCCAAGTACAGTATTTTCTCGATTTAACGAAATAATTCGAGCCACCGCTTTCCATTAAATCAAAATTTCTGCTAAATCATATTTCTTTTATTTTTACTCAATTTAATGAACTAGTTCGCTAAATCAAGCATGATTCCATTAAATTTCCGCTAAATCGAATTTCCGTTATTTTAACTATATTTAGCAAACTAGTTCTCTAAATCAAGCATGATTCCATTAAATTCCACACCAAATGCGCTGCTTGGTGTGTGGGGTCTGTTTACATCCGCTCAGTCTGTGTCCTGCAGCCACCACGTGTGTTGTTCACTGCTACCTCTCAGTCAACTAACTACTGTGCTTAGACATCATGCCAAAAGTTTCTCAGAAATCTCAGAAAGGTAGTGGTTTGGGGGAGAAAGTCAAAAGAGTGTGGCTATCAATTGGAAAAGTTTAGAGATACGTACAGGGTAATAGAAAAAATTTGAAAACAAACACCAAACCCCCTAGTTTAAGGTAAGCCAAGAATAATGTTTCTAATGATTCTAGGTACATACCATGTGTCTGAGGTGTCTCCATAGGTGTGAGCGTATTAATGGAGCTAATCTCGATGTTGCGAATTAGTTCACTAAAAACGGAAAAAATTCCTTCCGCTAAATCGAGAGTTTGTTATAACGGATTCCGTTAAATTGAGACTATACTGTTTAACTAAAAATGGATTCATAAGCTTCATCACTTAATCAAAGAGTAGACTAATATAAATATAATCAAAGTGGAAAAAATATAGTCATCTCGATCGTAAACTGTACTGTCCTACGAAAAAGCATTGAAATTACTGTGTCCTCTGTGGAAAAGGCATCTCTTTACCACTAGTTTATTTTGTATACGTATACACGTACTGTACAGTATATATAATCAGTCATTAAGACCATTAAACCAAGTCATTCTGATGATAGGAACCCTTCTTACTATTCCCCAATTTTGTTGAGCAAAGGATAAAAAATATGTATACTGTACTGTATATATATTTAACCTGTACTTTAGGTTAATTACGTATACATACAGTATACGTATAAACAAAACAAAAAGGAGATTAATTTTTTCTGGGGTATTATACAGTACAGTATGGAGTATACTTACATTTTGTTTAGTACTTGAATGGCAATGCCCCATGCCCCATGTTTGTTTGATAAAATATTGGTAATTTTGTCCAAGATACGTGCAGCTACAACGTTGTCTCTTCTACGTGCAGCTGTGATCAAGTGGTCACACATCTTCTCCTCCTCACGACGTTCCAAGACCGTTGTGGCACATAAAGACTGACAAAAATAATCACATGCATTACTTTAAGCTAAAGCTATTTATAAAAGTTCAAGATCTTTTCATAACTCAAACATCATGTGTTAGAAAAATATTATTAACAACTGTAAGAGGGAGCCAATCAGTAATATCCTATGCATTATCTGGAAGTTTGTTTAAAGTTATTTTATCAATTCAAAAACATTATGCAGTACTTTATGTTGCTATACATGTCAAACAAAAGCAATACAAAGCTGCCCCCTCATGGAAACAATATGCATCATCACCGGCATTATTCTATCTATTATTATCATACTGTATAAAAATTAGTTAGTGAGACAGTGAGAACTCAACGTCATTGATTTTGTTGTTCTCACCTCAAACTCAGCATGCTTGAGCACATCATCAGCTCTCATTCGGTTGAGGATAAATTCAGCTTCATTTGCCACTCGCACTATGTGGTCCTTCATGGCGTGTGATAGAAGTCTGAAGTTCAAAAGAAAAGCGTAAAGGATAATGCTCAGATAGTGTTTTTTGCAATTACAGTATCAGAGAAAAAATAAGAGGAAGATTATGGATTAAAATATATAAAGAATTGTTAGTACAGTACAGTACCATACAATAAATCAAATTAATGAAATAAAGTTTTGCTTCAGTAGGCCAAATTAGCAAAAAAATAAAAAAATAAAAAGAGAGAGAACAAGCTTAAGTAGACTAAGTTAGTAAAAATGAAAAAAGAAAGAATGCTTAAATAGACCTAATTAGTAAAAACTAAATGAAGGCAATGCCTTAAAGTAAAGTTAATGTTCTAACTATATTTACTACAAAATCATAATGTAAAACATTGACCATAGTACTGTACAGTACACAGGAACTGTTAATGATGTAAATACAATACCAAAAAATGCTAGAGTAATAGAGACAAATGTTTCAAAGAACCACCGTATGCAATACAGAAAAGGTGTACAGTACAGTCTCATCAGATAAACAACTGTTTCTTCATGCTACTAATACAAATGTAATGGTCAAGGTTCATCAGTACTGTACCATATTGTATATGCTAGTTATAGGAGGGTCTGCTGCATGCCCTCCCCTTATAGCATAAGAGAAACTGGACAGGATATAAATGGGTCATTATTGATTCTGGGACTACAAACAGTACTGTACTTAAGAGAACCGTCGTGAATGGCTTTCTAATGAGCTAAAAGTGTGATCTCAGGTGCTCATATGTGTGTCAAATACAACCCTTTTACAGTTTTCATAATTCTCTTAAAAAGGGGGAGTTTATAAGCTTACCATACATGGCTTTTGTATAGAGTATCAGCTAATGCTTACCAGTATTCATCTCCCTACAGTATATAATGGACAATGGAATGTTTTTAGGATTAACTCAGTGTTACACATTGTAAGGGTGTGCAGGAATTTATTTTCTGTTCAATTAACTACAGTACATACAGTAGTTATAATTATACCAACACCATGTTTGGTATCCCATCACTCACGTACTATCGGCCTGGGAATTTTCCCTTCATGCAAAACACACCTACAGCTCTCTAGGTGCTGCTGGAAAGTGCCCCTCACATATTCATGGATCTACAGAACATAACACCGTGTAGACTTACCTTCCCTCATTAATTAACTCGATGAAGGCAAGTCCTGCATGTTTCTGGAGAGAGTTTTGCCACTCCTGTGAGCACAGCAACATCACAAGTTCCACTACACTTTGACTGTGCTTGAAGGTCATTAGTCCTGAGAAGTAAAGAAAATTGTTAAAAAGACTACGTAGTAAAAGAATGATGATTCATGGATTGTCTTCCTATTACAATGGAGGGAACTAAAGAGACTTCCTTTGATGCCTGTTAGAAGGGTAATATATCTTCAGTGTCTGCCTGTCAGAAGTAAGCAACTCTATGAAGAGAGTGAACGAGTGTTCATTATGATGTCTGCCTGCTAGAAGAGTGCAGTTCTTGGAGGAGAATGAACAAGTCTTCATTTTCTCCCTGTCTAGATGAGAGTGAACTATAGCACTGGATAATGTTTATGTATTTTCCACAACATCAGTGTTATGGTTTGTGCCCGGAATTTTTTTTATTTTATTTAAAGGATAGTTTAGTATACCCCATAACTAAGAGAAAATGCATTATGGGTGAGTTGTGAAATAGTAATATTTTAGATGTACAGTACATAACAGGATTTTTAATATTCTCTCTAATTGTATTTGTTCTGTAGATATTAAGAAAATAGTAAATAGATAAAGGTTTATACTGTACATATTTGCAACATACAGATCATGCTTGGGTAAGCCAAATGCATTCAGGAACTTGATAATATTATTGAACAGTTTCAGTAACTAAGATGCTGGTTTACAAAGACCATGTCTCTTTAAAAACATGCAAGTTTCATTTAATATACTGTACAGCCGAATAAACCAAGTGTGCATGCATAATAAAAAAAATGAAAACAAATGTATTATATTTTCCAGAAAAAATAAGATAAAAAACATGATACACAATAATATGTTCACATATCATTATCATCAATGTTAGCAGCATTTACCTGATGGCAACTGTGAGGTAAAACCAGAATGGGATGCCCCCCCTCCCCCACTGCTCACCACTACAAACCCAGGATGTTAGCCTAGAAAATGCAGTCGAGACCAATGGATGGGCACAGCCCCGGTGACCTGGTTGCCATCAGGCATGTTGAAGCAAAGTTTTATGGCTGGATGCCCTTCATAATACCAACACAGTGGGTGGGAACAACTGGCAAGGTCATAACTCCCGGAGATAATCAAACACTACCTGCCTATCCGAAAATACTGTACAGTATAAAGCCACTAATGCAAAGGCTTAGTTTTCACTATACAGTATTTCACTTATGAAGCATACAAAATAGTTTCCATTTGTACATTAAGTTACTTGAATCCTATGCATAAATCTGTACAGCACAACACTCACAGATCCTGATTAAGATAGCTAGAAAGTTACTTTAATATACAAATACGTCATCTCCCTATGCAAATAATAAGTTGAATTACATACCACACTAATGGACACTAGTACAATATTTGTTTGAGTCTACAGTATAATGTATTAAGCTTCCAAGTATATACTCCTTAACCATATTAACTAACCAAGAAATGTAAACACTATTCAATAATTTTCAATCACCTGAAATGGTAAAAAAAAGTTAAGGGGAATCTAGTAATGCAGTGGTACGTATTAGGTAAATGTAACTTCATTAACACATCAACATGCTTAAACTACAGAAATTCTGATAAGTGGTGCAGAACACAGTCATGCAGGTAATTTAACTAAATACAGTAAACCCTCGATTTCTACTGCATATGGATATAGAATCCATGGCAATATTACTTTATAATTCAAGAGACAAAAAAAATAGTGCTGTGTGTTTGATGTAAGTTAATGATTATTTATATCATACTCTATACAGTACTAATATTTGTACTTTACATATACCCTGTATTAGATTATAGCACAAAAAGGTGTACGTATACCGTTATTTTTCCTCATCCTTTGTGATCCCTTACATGTCTTTTCACCCAAATATGACTTTCTCTCAGACTTGAAATTTGGTGGGATTAATTTCAGTAATTAAGTACATCCAGAAGAACGTAAAAGCACCAACCAATCACCTCGGAAACCAATAGTTGGCGAGTACAGTAATTAGAATTGAGAAAAAGGTCATTAAAATATTCCAAGCGTCATTACGACCACTAATTATTCCGCAATCGAACTTTCGATGATATATACGGAGTTGGCATGCCCAGGAGTACCTATACTGAGATTTTGAACAAAATCGCAAATATTGCGATCTGTCTCAGACCTGAAAAAATCTATAAGGGCTGTACATTGTGAATTACTTGTACATTATTTGCCCATACCATATTGTTATTATTATGGACTGTATCTGTATTTTTCTGGATAAATAAACTTTTTCAATATTCGTATCACTACCTCCCATGAAATGGCAGAACCGAATTGGATAACATGGTACAGTATAAATTTGTCTGTCATGGTCTGTTGATATGGTAAACTTGGGACATTGTGGATATCAAGGGTTTATTGTACAGGGATTTTGAATTCTAATCTAAAAATTAAAAAAGATACATGTGAAATATTACCAGATACTTTCAAAACGGTAACTAACGTGGCTGTCTGGGGGAGGGATGACTTCACCACAACACACCAGGGATAAAACAAAAAAAGAACCCCACAGCCTCACCTTTACCTTCCATGAGAAGCTCCTGCCCATGGGAACCCACAAGGGTCTTTGAGAGAAAAGGAGCAAAATCCACCATTATCTCCCGCAGGAGTGGGGACACAGACCCCAGTGCCATCTCCAGCTTCTGTGTGAGAGATGCTTCACGAGACGGCGTTGGGATGGGAAGGTCAGAGTGAAGGAAAGGCTTGATGTTGAGGTCCTCTGGTCGGTGGTGCTTTACAGTAGAAGTTACTGGATCAGGCATGTTGGACGGAGAAGAAAGTACAGAGATTTGGCCACCAGAGAGCTGTTGCTGAGGGTCTGGCTGTGATAAGGATTGAGGTTGTGATAGCTGCTGTGATTGTGATTGGGACTGTTGGGTAGGCAATGGTTGTGTTTGTAGCTGTGGCATCTCACCAGTCTCTGGCACACCATACACTGTAAGTAACCAATAAAAGTATTACAGTATTTACAGTTGTGTTTTTAAGTACCAAAGAAGTATTATCACCAACTGAAATATTTACTATGTCATCAGTGCTTTAAGATACAAATAATAGTTAACAATGTGTTAAACTTTCATGGAAACCTCGAATATAAAAAAATTAACTAAATATGTGTTAAATATACACTTTTCAAATAAATGCACAATTCATATTAAAAGAATATATGAAATAGGTTCTCACCAAAGTTTATAACTTTTTTTTACTTTTTAATTTACTTTTATCCTCTTCACCACTGATCGGCTCGTTAGCTGCTTGGGCAATCGGTCACATCTCTGTTATGCACTGTACGTAAGTACTGGGCAGGCACTGGCTCCTGAATTTATCTGAGAACCTGCTGCAGTGCTGGTCAAGTGAGGTCTTGAAACACCTCGCACTCAGAGCCGTCACAACACTCTGGCAGGTTGTTCCAGGAGTTCACAACTCACACTCCAAAAAAGTTTGCCCTACAACCTTGAGCTGTGAGCCCTTGTGGGGCGAGCGTCCGCCAGCTCCAGGTAAGAACACTCGACTGAAAAGTGCCCTTTGAGATGTTTATGCCATGCACCTCAATTAGGTCTTCCCTTGCCCATCTGTAGTATAAGCTAGGCAATTTCAGGTGCTACTGTATAAAGGCAGTCCCTCATTTACAAAAGGGCTCCTATTCCGGAAAACCCTTTCCTAACTCAGATCACATTGTTCCAGACTCCAACTAAAAACACTATACAATGACTATAAGCCAAAAAAACACCAAATACTCAGATGAATGTTTGTTTTACTTCTTGAGTTACATAATACACCATTGTTCTTGCATACATACTTAAAAAAAAACAAAAAAGAAAATTAGATACAGTCTACTGTACTGTATTTAGAAATTAAGAGTTCCCTAACAGCAAGTTAAACCCTTTTGTTGCCGTTCCAGAAGCTTCTAGTGAGTCGCAACATTTTCCATAAGCAAGTTCATAAATAACTACAGTACTATTGTCTAATTCAATAACTAGCCCAATACAGTACAGTGCAGGTACCTTGTTTATATTTATTTATTTTATTTGTATGAATAAAATATTATTACTATTTTCATGGATTTTGAAATTAATATAAGTCAAATAACCTTGACAGGGATGGGATGCCCATGGCTTGTCAGGGGTACTGTGCCTCCAATGTAAAAGATTACCTTCGAAGCTTATTGTACTGGCAATGTTTACTTACCAGACTTTTGAGATTTTGCATCAATCTCATCAGGTGTTCCATCATTGAGGTTGACATCTGTCCATGCATCATCAGTTGGCTGTGAGTTTTGTTCCTCATTGAGGCTGACAGCTCCTGAGCCTACGTCACTGCCCGCCTCACCAACCTCAGATCCCTGAAAAATTTACATTTTTTTAGAAATGTAATAAAATAATGTAAATATCAGCAATATCTACGTTAACCACAATCTCTCAAACCCGGAACTCTCCGATAGCCAGAATTGAAATTTTCCGAGAGGCACATTCCGTAAAATTCCGGAAATTTCCAGGTACAGTGGTCCCTCAGTTAACGAGCACAATTCGTTCCAGAAGGTTGCTCGTTAACCAAAAAATTCGTTAACGAAACCATTGTTTCAATGGGTTTTTGGGTAATTGGTCCCAGCTCACCGAAAATTGCCTAAAGTCAACAAAAAAGGTAGTAAAGTACACTTACTTTGAGGTGTGTATGTAGAAGGCTTCTGGATGATGATGATGATGATGGGAATTAGAATGGGGGTGGAGGAGAAGGGAGAAGAGAAGGCATTGGGTGGAAGAGAAGTCACCCCATGGCGCCATTTCACCCATAAAATTTTAGTTCACTTGGTGTAATTCAAGATTATTTTCTTTAAATCAACACTGCACTGCATTATATATTGTCAATATGTAAAATAAATTTCAAAATGACCAATAATTTGCTTGGAAACAGAAAAGAAGGTATTTATGATGAAGAGATTCTGAAGCAAGATGTTACCTCCACTGAAAAGACACAGAGACTGACGCCTGTATGGTGTGCTGACAGGCTATTTGGCTCGCAAAAAACTAGCTTCCTATACTTCGATTATCTTCAATAATTGTTAAAATTACTAAAAAATTTTATATAAAACTTTTAAAATTATTGAATGGTACAACCTTACTGATATTTACTAAAATAGTAAGGAATTTAAGCCCTAGAACCGATTACTGTATTGGCGGACTAATACTACAGCTGGTGGACCGCCAAATGCAAGCGAAAACATGTGGAGGGGCACTCGTAAGAAATTCGTTAATCAAGGGATTGCTCGTTAACCGAAGTTAAGAATCTTATGGAAGGTAATTCGTTAACCGAAATCTCGTTAGCCGAGGCGCTCGTTAACCGAGGGATCACTGTATTGGGGAGTTTTTTCCAGGTTTTAGAAAATGAAAATCAGACTCATTCTCCGGAAATTCGGAGGAAAATCTTCCGGTACATACCCAGAAAATTCTGGGGATGGGGGATATTTTTCTGGTTTCAAGAGATGATGTAATGGGCAATTTCTGGAACTTCCGAGACAATTTTTCCGTTACTTGGAAAATTCCAGGGATGAGGGATTTTTTTCCGGCTTTGAGAGAGTTGTCTCATTACCCGGAAATCTCTTATTCCCAGAAGTGCTCTGCACCAAATGTTCCAGCTAACGGAGACATCACTGTTATAATGAGCAGACAAGATACAACTTCTATACTGTAATTAAAACATAACTTTCTCCAATTTTAGTCTTCTTATACATTATAATTCTTATCACTTACAGTATAGTCTGGATTTACGCGGTCAATTGAACCCGTGGAGGTCCGCGTAAAACGAGAAACGCGTAAATGAAATAACAGAACATATGGGATTAATTGAAATAGACTGGGCCGACCCCCAAACTACACTTTTTCAGACACAATACATATGTTGTAGTAAAAATAACATCTTAATTTTATGATGGTATGCACACACAATTAATATTTAAGAGAAATACAGTCACTGGTTAATGTTCATTCAAATAATGGACTCAACTCCCCCCCCCCCCCACACTCGCTGGGTCCTTCCCTCCCTACCAGAGAAATGTTTGGGAAAACAGTATATTTACATTTTTTGTAATAAATAATACCTCAGACTAAAGTTAGGATAATATAATTGACATTGCTGGATTCCTTGCAGGACAGGGAATATTTTGAATGTAAACGTCATATATTTTGCACAAAAGATAAAATTTTTGCTCATTTTCATCATCTTCTTAAATTACATCTAAAATTTGTATGTCTAATGCAAATTTTAGGATGCTTAGGTATATTTAAAATGATCACCATCTTGTAAGGATTCCAGCAATGTAAATTATATATTTTATGAGCTAAAAACATATATATCTTCAGTAAATAAACAAATTATACTTCACCCGCGTAAATGATGAAATTTTCCGCGTAATTAAAACATTTCATTCTGGCAAGGTGCCGCTTAAATGACCAAACGCGTAAACAAAAACCGAGTAAATCCAGACTATACTGTATAAAACTATATCATAAATACATGGAAAACAGAGAATGCAACATATACACACACACACAAACTACTTACAACAAACATACACAAATTATAAATTGAATGAACTACTGTACAGTGTTGTATTGTCGTATTTTCATAAGATAACAGAATATGATAAAAAAATCAAACATCATTATCAATATTTTAACACCCAAAATATTTTCATAATTACCTATGCATAAAGTCCAGCATGCCTCATTTGCCAAAACCATCACCAATTAATAATGCTTCAATATGCCTATAAAAGAATACAATAAAAAAGGAACATCACTATTATAATTTTCATCTTTCAAGCAAAATAAAAAGCTTCACAAAAGCTCTTGTGCAACAGCAATTCTTGAATTCCTAGGAAAAAAGAATGATACAATAGCAGGTGCAGTTGAAAGCTGAAATGTGTGGGGGAAAAACAGGAAGTGTGATATAATTCAGTAAAAAAAATTTTTAAAGTATCAAGAACTTGCAGAAAGTTTCTATAGAAACAAGATTTTTTTTTTAATATTGCAACACTAGTTGCACCTTAAATACCCTCGGCACACTTCTACAGAGTAGCAAAAGTGTAATTTTACACTTATGAAGATATTTTTGCAATACATTGTGCCTCAAGCTATTCCTCAGAGTGACTGAGCAGTCACTGGCAAAATTAAAGATAAAAGAATAGCACAATCTGTTATACAAAGATGAATGAATCCCTAATGATGTCATGTAATTTTACATTTGCTTCACGCTAGGGAGTTTTCTGCAGAAAGATGTGATGAGATTCTGGTTATTTCACCCCCTTAATCACATAGAGGACATAACTAGGAGAAATTCAATACAGTTCACCCTTCCTTCACTTTGCACAGATTCACTCTTAAATTTTACACTGCTAAATGAAAAGGGTCCTTAGCTAAGACTGTGCTAAATTCAAATTTTATGCCCCATCAAACATTTTGGGAAGCCTGTTGCATCCTGGAAGCATGATTACTAGATGTATGACACTCCCCTGCACCATACTCAATACCCATATGGTGATTTCAGTGTAAAGTGGTCTCTCTCTCACAATGTACTGTTTCAGGTTCAGTTACAAACAAAGGGTCACTTCCTCCCAAATTGAAGCAGTATTAACTCCAAATGAAATGAAACAGCACACCCGCACCAGAAGACAGTCAAGGTAAGTAAGTTTGGAGACTTTCCTTTGGCTCAGTCTCACTATGGGGATGGGGTGGGAGACTTTTGTTCGCAACTGTACACTTGACTAATTGTACCCAAGTAATTGCAATGATCACCCTCACATCTCTGTGAGATGCCCCTAGCAAGAAACTCTAGCCAGTATTTATATTGAAATCCAAATTATAAATAATTTCATACCACGAGGTAGGTGAGTCTGATGTGTGACCCTGGGTTCACTTTGTATGAGCTTGCTTTATATGTGTACTGTACTGGCCATTTCTTGGTACACAACTTCAGTGCAAAGTAATGGAAAGGTGAAAAGTGTATGAAATAAGGTGAACACATCAAAACTCTACTGGAGATGCAGTTAACACATCTTTGAGACCATTTTGTAATAAAAACATCAAAACATCTAATACAACAAAATAAATTGTGCAAACAGAAGCAGGGTGAAGAAACACATCCTCATCAAAAGCATAATCAGGAGCACTCTATCAAACACGAAGATACTCTACCACTTTTTTTACCTTAGGGTTTATCATGTTGTTGCGAGCTACTGGTTTAGAAACCTTAGCTCCATAGGCATTACAACCATACTTAGGGACAGGGCCAGTTCCTAGAGTGTGGTTAGACTGGGGAGAGACCAAGTAGGCCAGGTTAGTAGTTTTGGTTCATGATATTAAGCAGATTACTCAAGGTTGTATGCTGGGAACTAATCAGTTTTACTGAAACTACTGATACTGTGACACAAATACATTGCACACCTAACAGACACTCACTTCTTACTTGTCACTAACTATTTGCTGTGCTCAGTTGCTTTCAGTGTTATTAACAGAGAATTAGTGCTGTTATGCTACTTACATTCACAACCCACCAGCATCATGTTAGTGTTTACTGTCACATAAATAAAGATATTACAGGCACCACACTTATCAGAGGAGCAGTCATGTTAGATAAATAAATTCCTTGTCTCCTAATCTTTGTCAATATATATCTTCAAACATTAAAAAAAAATTTTGTTTCCAAGTTTTTCAGTCAACATTAATCACTACATTTCAACAATCAATCAATCAATCAATCTGAGTACTGTACTGATATCTGAGGGTTGGCGACCACAGTTCTTCGCTCTAAAAGTTTTCAGGCTGTTTTTACCAATCCTCCGAGATTATGTATCTCTCTGGAGACCGAGCTTTTAATTTCATTCATCCATCCCAGTCTTTGCTTTCCCCTAGACCTCCTACCCTCAACTTTGCTCATTATCTGTTATTAGCCCCTCATCCACATTTCAACCAAAGCTAATCCCTTAACTTTCAGTTGTCATACAAGCCTAATAGCTGACTAATACATCTTAATTGAAAAAAAAATAAAAAATTTTACTAAGTGGAAAACATTACTAATACAGTATATAATAAACTTCTCTTCCTCTCCCAGTCATCTCCTCATACAAGTATTCTAACCTGGTGTCTGTAGGTCACTATGATTTGATGGCTTTAGATTAATCATATAAAGGTTAATTGACTATCGTAAGCCAAAAGCAGATGTAGGTTCTTCTAAATATTATGAAGTTCTGTAAAATTTCCAGAATTAGTGTTTAGAATTACCATACCTATGATAGGTCTATTCACTCAACATCCTCGCCATTTCAAAGTACAGAAAAGGAAACATTACCTGTTCTACAAGTTCTATTAAAGCAAATTTAACAAAATATTACTTACTAGAGTAAGCAACCAACTTAACCACTGATTGTCTTTTGTTCCTCAAGTTTACTGATTTCAGAAAGACAATTCACTGTTATGAGTGACAGCACACCTATAGTGTACCTGTACAATCAACTGGAAAAATATTGTCAACAAAATGACTTGGGTGCTTGAGAATATCACAGCAACAGCACCTATAAAATGGATTAATTTTCAACTTCATATAATGGGGTAGAGCAATCACCATTGACTAATAGTAGTAAATTATCATACTCTAACTTCCAGATCAAATATTAGATTTCTTAAATTGACACACAATCTGCAGTGGACAATAACCAGTCCAAGATGCTCCTGCTGGTGGTCATAAGGAGAGAAAGTAATGCAGGTTATATTTCTGATCTTATTTGCATACAGGATCCAAAATTTTAAAATACTGAATACATAAGAAACAGAAGTATGCAGTAGAGTAATAAATATGGTTACCTTGAGGGAGGGTGGACCAGAGGAGGCAGTGGAACAATGTTCAGAAGCGAGGATGGAGGAGTTGTGTTGATCAACAACGATGACTTCGTATTCTCCATCTTCATCAACTTCCCCAGAGCGTTCTGTACCTTTAAAGAAAATAATATTAATAATTCTAATTCTGCTCAACAAGAGAAATACAGAAATAGATATTGCAGCAAGAGAAACACACAGATAAATGAAGATTATGTTCAAGAAAAAGTACAGTATGTATCAGGTCAATTATCAATTTAATTATTCATTTTGACCAACAGTTGGTTCATGATAAAAACCCTGACAGTATGAACAACATAAAATAAAGGACAGGATCGGCAAATGACTACAAGGAAACTTTACTTATCACAAATTACACTAATACAAAACACATTACTATAGATTAGCCCTCTGGATGAATTTACCACAAATACAGAACACAACAGTTTTCTCAACAAAATAAGGTGCTAACATCCTATTGCAACTAAAATCAAAATACCAGAAATTTTACATAAAAGCAAGAAAATGACAGAAAAGTAAATAACATGACAATTTCTTAAAGAATCATAAACAAGGGCTGGCAAAAGGGTTACGGTACTCATATTGGTCAGCATCCATAAAGTTGACTTAAGCAGCTTAAAATGTAATTGCTTTACTTACAAAATTCATTTAAAATTAAAAAAAAAAATCATACTACAGTGCTCCAGAATATTTAATGAAGATTTTAATATCTTTTATGCAAATAAATAAATTAGAAAGATATCAAAGTAACAACCACTCAAGTTCTGTAACAATACTCTCGTTCCTCTAACCAACTCATCAAAAATGAATGACCATTCTATTATGTTGAAACACAACAGAATTACTCCGATGTTCTATATACAGTATACCTTTTAATTTATCGAGGCTGGCTATGATCCATGTACAGTACAGTAGTGCAAATTATACAGTGGTACATATAGTGAAAGGACACTACTGCATTTACTAAAGCCACTAATAAGTACATGTACATCTGTAAAGTTTGAGACAAGAGACAGCTATTTAATCAATATAATATTCAAAACAGTACAGTACTAGAAATATAACAGCGCAGATAGCAGGTGCTCATATGGTTCAAAGTTCCTACGTGATTCCATATTTCTACTAAGTACCTTCCACACTCTTGTGCTTCTTGACAGCTGGACTACCTTTAGATTCCTGTGCCGCAGAAGGTTGTGGTTGTTCCTTTTTCTGAAACATTCCACGACCCCCAAAGAATGGAAGCTTCCAATTCTTTTCTTTTGCCTTCCCAAACAACCCAGTCGAAGAACTTCCTGGCATATACTTTGGATCTAATGTCTGATAAAATGATGGAAGAACAGGACCATCTTTTTTTATGGGCTGTGACACATCCTTCCCACCATGTGAGGGACCTACTGCACCCACAGTCTGGTCCTTTTCAACAGATAATGATGCTTGTACAGCTGCTGCAGGCTGTGTCTGCTTGAGATTTGATTGTGACACAGATAAAGTCAATGTAGGAAGGGATACTGCAGATACTGATGATACTTCAGGAATTTTTGACTTCTCCATATCCTTGCAGACTATGGCAGAAATAGTTGTAGGTATTTCAGTGGGCAAAATAGCAGCCTCTTCTTTACTCCTCTCAGATTTTTCACCAATTTCATTTAGTACTTTTGTTGCATCTGTGGCTTCTTTGTCTATTGAATGTACCACCACCTCATTTTCTTTATCATTTTCAGTCTCTTTGGTTGCTTTTTCTTTGTCAATGGAAGCTGATGAAGAATTATCAAAGAAATTTTACAAAAAATTTTAAAATAATCCAGAACAAGTACCACACAGTTATGAATAAAATATCAGCTTAAATAAATAAAAATTACATTTTTAAAGTCTTGAGAAAATACTGATGTGCATTCACACGAAAATGCCCTTTTTCACAGAATTAATTTTTTTCCAGATTTCAATCTTAGTATCATTCACCATAACCACATTAACTCATAGGCATTTATGTACCTGTGTTATGTATACATAGCTGTCCAATAAGAAACAACTAGTGCAAGAAATATCTTAGGCTCAGTATTGTTTTTAATTATGTTAAAAATCATTACAACCACCTAGAGTGAAAGATGTACATGTAAATTCTAGGATTTCTTATTGTCTGTATCAACATTGCATGCATCTGCACATACACACAAACAAAAACTGATAGATGGACACTCGCACACAAAAGCACTTTTAACTTCTTCATCACGGGTCAGCTCTCTAGTTATTCGGGTGATAAGCTACAAATTTTAAGCAGTTATTCTAATCTCTTACATAAAATTATCTATGTATCTATTATCATGGATAAAATTACCTCAAGAAAGAAGAGAATGGAAGAAGAATGCGGAGATTCTTTTTTTTTAATATAGTACATAACAATTCTATTATACAGCTCATTATTCAATACAACACACACTACACCAACATGTTTTCATATTCCTGCCTAAAAGATAATAATAAACTACAGATGACAGCTCACCTGAGAAATGGTGCTGTGTAAATGCACCATTGGTGTGAGCAGCCTGTGGCGGAGGTGGCGGTGAGGAGGGCGGGTTCGTGGGAGGTTCAAGAATATCTCGGTACTTTGACACCATTAACACAGATATAAAGTAAACAATTGCTAACGACAAAAACTGTGCTTGTTTGGTTTCCTCCTGCAAAATAGAAAAATTGTCATTAACACATGGTTGATAAGACATAGTTATCACCAACAGAAGCAAGGATCGAAGCTTGCTTCATGGTAATGGTTAGCATTACATTAGCTTTCGGTCTGCCCAGTGCTTGTCTAGTCTTTCATCAAGTACTGGTCTAAACTGAGCTGGGTGAAGAAAGGTTTCCATCCTTGCTTCATTAAGAGAAAATTTAAAAGGAGGGATGTTTTTCAAAACAAGATACCTGTATTCTAAAATTAAAGTCAATAAATGTGAAAATGTGAATTAAAATAATTTACTCTTAGGGTCCTGACAGCTCACCCCACAGTGAGATACTCCTACTGTTTGATATGTCACACTCTCTGCTGTCTGGTAAATGATGCATATAAGCCTAAATCATACTCAAAACATAGCCCAAATTTAGCATATTTTTTGCACACAGAGTCGCCAAATTTTATACATGACATGCATTTGAAAACCTTGAAAAAGTTAAATGAAATGGCTTTTCTATCTTTTTATTACAGTACAGTATCTATGTCGATACAATTTATCCTTCTTATCACTTTTACTCAGAGGGGTAAGTTTAAATTTAATTCCTAAGTGCATCCTTATTTTAATTACATTTTTCTAAGTTCACATGTTGGTAGAGTTGCTGGTGTTGTATCTCGAATATGTTTTAGATATGCAGGATTTCAGTTGTTCAGAAAAACTTTGAACACCACCATTTTACATGCACAGGAAAGATGGAAGTAGCAAGTGTCATGTATGTACAGGTATACCATATAAATGATAGTAAAGGAAAAAAGTCCTAAGTAAATAACACACCTCACCATGAGTAAAAGAGGAAGAAGTACAGGTACTGTATACATACCACATCACGGTATATAACAGCTCTTAATCTGTTGACATCCATGTCTTGGAGGAGTTTCTCGGGATCTCTCACAGGGCTGTTCTGCGTGCCCAGATTCTCAACAATATTCTGCACAAAAGATAAACCACAATTAATAGGACATCTTACTCAACTGGTCAAGTTAGGCAAAAGATGTTCAACAATATCTAAAATCTATCATCTATTATCTATTCTCATTTCTTATGGCTTGAATCTGGCAAGAAAAACCTAATTTATAAAAGACTTCATTTCTTGTGGCTTGAATCTGGCAAAAAAAAAATTTATAAAAGACTTCTTTTCTTTTCACTCTGCCAAGTCTTCTCTTGTTATGATGCAGGGTGTCTGGAATCAAGAACACACACACTTCATTAATTTTCTTTCATTCAATCTCACGACTGTGGTTGAGGTGTTCTGCTATGGTACTCCCCTTTCATAAAGTTCCAAACATCTATTTGGTTTATCCATGCCATTTCACACAACCTAGCATTACCTATCAGTAGTGTCCACCTCCAAAAATCTCTTCTTGTCGTGCACTTAAGTCATTCAAAACTTACTGTACTGCCTTGATGTCCACACCCAAACTCCTAGAATTTAAGTTTAATTATACACTAGATTGACTAATCTTCTCATTTTCTAAATATGTCCACACCACCACAGCAAACCCTGATCTCCTCTCTGCCACACATCACTCTCTACTACAGCTCTTAACTTCATTATTTTAAATTCCCTGCATCCTATTTTCTCACACATTGCCCTCAAGGATATAGTTTCTGCTTTTTATGATCTGGTTTTTGCTATTTTAACCATGATTAACATCATTACAATTATGTCTACTCAATTTTTCTTTTAACATCTCCGACTTTTATTTTCTTTGACATGGGTCTCATTTCTCTAATATCAATACCACCTATCAGTTTCTCTCACTCGACCATGAGGTTCAATAAACCACTTATTATTCCTTTACTGTCACCTTTCACTTTTTCAATTGTATTTTAATGCCAGTTAACATTTATTTATTATTCAATTTTTTTTATTATTCAAAATTTATCAAATCGTCTAATCTACCTTTATTCACATCTTAATCTTCATGGAATGATAAAGGAAGGATTAACTTAATATGTATTTTCACCACTAACCTGCCTTCCTACACAGATTCCTCATAGCCATTCCATCTTAAATAAACTCCTTAATGTATTTATTTTGCCAAACATAGATACTGTATATATAAGTATATACAGCATACAGGGTATATGGTATCTTAATCTTCATTTTTGTTATTCTATTTATTCAATTCATTCTTGAAACACTACAGTTTTTATGTCTCTACACTCACACGATTTATATACAGTACAATGTGCCTCAACAAATTTGAGCTTATATACTGTACAGTACAAAGATATGGGCATGAATACTGTAGGTACAGTACTACTTGGGAGGTACCAGCACATTCTAGTAAATGCTTACATTAGTCTTAATCACAACATATTTTACTATCATTAAAAATAAATTCAAAATAACAAAGTTAATACTGTACACTTGTCCAATTCTTCCAATTTAACTCAGCAGTCAAGTTCACTCTTAATCCACAGCAACCTCATAATGCCTAAATTATTACACTACAGAGAATTTAACTTCACTGTAAACACTGAAACTTTTATATTTTTTACCTTTGGCGAGGCCTGAGCACCTCTTATAAGAGAGTGAATGTGTCTCGACTTGTTGATAGGTTTGATGCCATTACCACCAGCACCATTTACATCTTGAAGTCGCGTCCGTTCACGACATTCAAGACAATTTCTCACAGCCACAGTGCAAACCTGGATTTCAGAAAATATCATTAAACACCTTTATATTGTGTAAAAATTCTCTCATTATACAGTATTATAAAAAAAAATTCTAATGTATCTACAATACTTAATTTAAACTAAGAAAGGAAGATTACCGGCATCTGGCATATCACATATAATATACAGTACAGGTATTGTATCACTATTTCCTTTGAATAATAAAAGAAAAAATCTATTCAATTCATGAGATTATATTTCATTCATCTATTAACATTAACTGCAGTCATCAAAGGTTGAAAGTGGCGTTTACATACCAAGCGTAAACACTGTCTAAGGATTCCTCCACTCGACATGTTTTTCTCTGCTTCCAACTCAGAAAAGTTGAGTGAAGAAGCAAACACAAGAACATCTGCCATATTTACTAATCGGTGCAGAAATGACACGGCAACTTCCACTCCCATTCCCTGTGTGGGCTCCAAGACATCCAATTCATTCTGGAATGTATCAGTATTCTTAAATTATAAATGTCTGAAGTGATGTAATGGCATACACGCAGCAGCAGTCACACATCTTTAAATCAACCAGGTGACTGCCCAGTAGAATTGTATCACATCGCCCAGAGGATGGTTCTAGTGCGAAAGGGTCTAATTTTTGTACATGAAATATGTTCTATTGTATTTTATGACATACATACTATGTATCATATTTATTGTTTACCATAGCAATTTTTTTTAATATTTTATGTATGCAACTGTAAATTTGTTCGAAATAGGCTTATATCGTCTATACAGAATTTTTGGTATTAATAAATCGTTTAACTTTGAATCCACTTTTACAAAGTCATTTACAGAATTATCATTATAAGGGAAAACTGTACTCAGTGTTTACTGCCCTGTCGTTTAAACCTGTTGTTCACCCTCCATGCTTCGCTGTTATCACTCATTTAGTGATAATTTTGCTTAATGTTAGGTTTTCAGGAACACAACCCCATCGTTAAACGAGGGATAACTGTATATGTAAAGTGTAACCCATAGGTCGTGTAACAGCACAGATTGTTTAAAAAATAAATTATGGTCTCTTCAAAAATGTGCTTTATGCGGACAAGTGAAATTATTTTATTAGTGTACAGATGCACTCTCTTGCAAAAGGTTAAAGTCAACTAAGGACTGCATGAAACCTTATTATTTTTACTGTACCTGTACTAGTCTGCACAAAAATCAGTCACTATGATAACAGTTCTCATCCCCAACTTTATTAACAATCACTTAAACGCAAATACAGCAATTCTAAAATAATTTTATAAATTGGTTGAATGATTGTACCGGTTTAAAAGTTTAAAGGTAAAAAGAATGAGCAAAAAATTAAGCAGTGTAATTAATTACACTTAATGATAACTATTGGGTTAAAGTGTTCTGAATAAGTAGTACAGTGGAGATAGCAAGTAGAGTTGTGCATTTGCATGTTCCTCTAAAGCTGTGTTACATGATTTACTTTTGATGAAAATATCTTCACGGTGGGTGAGTGGGTATTTATGTATGTTTGTAGGCTCATAATGTTATATAACATATGGGTGTCAATGTGCAGAGGAAAATTTTCTTTGGGAGATACTCACAAAGCATATTACAGAAAAAAAAATCCTTTCAAATTCTTACATTGGGTGAGGTAGCAGAAGCCAATAGAGGTAATAAACCTCCACATGCAATAATGAGGTTATCTGCCAGTTGTGAGATGAGATGGACTGTGTTGACAACAAAGATGGCATTTTCACTGTTGTTCACAAAGTCCAACACACTTTTTGTAGAATGGCTGTAAAAGAAAATAAACACATTCAATTACACAATAATAATAACTATATTAATAATAATAATAGTAATAATAATAATAATAATAATAATAATAATAATAATAATAATAATAATAATAACATTCATTCAGTAAAATTGTTATACAAGTTTACAATTGGATAAGCATGTTTAGAAACTATACAGTTCACAATGAATATAGACAATATAGGTATACAGTTTAGTGCACGTAGGCACATAGGCAGCTCACAGTTTCCTGTGAGCTGAGACAGTGCAGGTAAACAACAACAGAAAAAGGATAACTGACAAAGCTGTCGGGTGCTTATTTCCATGAAGTCTTTTAACTGTATAAAATGTAAACTACATGCTTGATGTATTTCATCAATCTTTATTCTGTCTATTATCAACCCTTTTCATCCTTTAAATGGCTAATAAATTACTTTTTCTAAATTTGCTAACTGTTACTCACAGTCCCGTTTAAACCTAGTGTTCCCACAGCACTGTATTAAAATTTCCTCTAGTGTCTCTAAAACTCTGTTACCAGTTTTAAATCTACTGTTACTGAAAAAACAACCTTCACCAATGACCTAGTTTTACTCTTGCATGGTAATACGTGTATAATTTAAAATGATCTTCAATCAATTTTTTTTTTAAATATTAATATCTCCATTAGCTGGAATCCATCAAACCCGGAACTCTCCAATATCCGTAATTGAAATTTTCTCGGAAAATCGTTCCCAAAGCCGGAATTTTCCAGAAAATTCCAGCTTTGGGAACGATTATCCGAGGGGCACAATTTATGGAAAATTCCGAGAAAATTTTCACAGTACCTGGAAAATTCTGGGGATAGGGGAGTTTTTCCCTGGTTTGAGAGGTGAAAATCAGGTTCATTTTCCTGAAATTTTGAGAAAAATTTTCTGGTACAGTACTTGGAAAATTCCGGGGATGGCAGAGATTTTTGGGGATGCGAGAGATAATGGAATGCACAATTTCTGGAACTTCCAAGAATATTTTTCCGCTACCCAGAAAATTCCAGGGATGAGGGTTTATTTTCCGGTTTTGAGAGTCATCTCGTGACCCGGAAATCTCTCATTCCGGAAGTGCTCTGCACTAATTATTCCGGCTAATGGAAATATCACTTATAGTTCTTTGTAAATCTACACAAAGTACTTACACTCTCCTCTACTTCTCTCACTTTCTTTAAATTCATTATCTACCTCACAAAATATTATCTTTCAGTACATCCTCCTCATTCAAATCTATCTACTACAGTGAAGTCATGATAATTTGCGAAATACAAATTCACGTTCTTAAATTCGCAGGTACCCCTATTACTACCTCTTTTTAAATTTTGAGGTCAAATATTCATAATTCGTGGCCAAACACCAGCTGCCATAGTGTTAATTTACATAAACCATAAAAGTTGTGAAAATAAAACTGGAATCCTCGTATGTGACTTAGAAATAAAGAAAATATAATATAAATATAAATATAATTTCTGATTAAAAAAAATCAGTACAGTATATAATATAAATATAATTTCAATGATCTAATCTGATTTAGAAATAAAGAAAATATAAAACCTATAAAATAAGAAAAATGAAGAGTGGGAAGTGAATTCTGTGTGAGGGAGGTAGAGCAGGTGACTGGCTGGACTCAACGGAAATTCCCCATCCCACGACCCTTTTATCATGACAGTATGCAATTTCACCATAATTCCCATATCATTTGGTGCTGGGTTAATGCAACATTATCAAAAAATAACAAATTTTCTCAAAAAAATATTCCCACCCTCAGCCCCAGATGAGTTACCGAGTCTTATTAAATTCCTTGTGGTTTGTTCACGTAGGTGAACAGTTGGCTGGTTAGTTGCAGAAAAAGTGTAGAAAGTGACAGGAAAGGGCAAAGACATTTAATAATTTTCTGAACCTAGTATCTCACCTTTTGTAAATCTTAAAATTAGCACTGCATTAGCAACCTTACTATACACAGAAAACCTTATCTGAAAACAAAATGAATACTACACACACACAAAAAAAATAAAAATACTGTATACCAGTGCCACTTTCAATCATACCTCCTCCATACTTGCATGTCAGTTTCTAAAGAAAATAGAACATCTGATAGAAGTCTTTGATGGATGTAGGACCACCGAAATTCAGGGATCCGAAAAGGCGGCCGCGTTGGTCCTGATGAAAATATTTGACGGGAGTGCGACTGGGAGGATCCAATAGAGGAACTTCTTGAAACAGATGCAGACTTACGCTCTGAATCACCTATGAGGATTGACTTAGATCAGTATAAATATCTTGTAGGGTAAATCATTATACTGTATACGACAAAAAAAACAGTAAGTACTGTACTGTACTTGAAATTTATAGTGATTATAAAAATCAACACTGATTTTTTAAATATAAATCCTGTACAGTAAAACCTCTTCTGGTCTGAATCTTAGACAATGGAGTTTTCAGGTGGCTGACTTTTTACACACAAATTTACTTCGGAAAATGGCCCACGCTACCACAGTACGGTACACAAGATGAGAAAATAGGATTTTGGCACTTTGTCAGTGACAGTGGCCTAACTTCTATCTTGGAATTGGACACTGAGGGAGAGATGGAAGAGGTTGTCTGAGGTATACAATATTCTTTAATTACTAGTAAGGTCTCCTGGGTTTTATACCACAGTGATCTGAGACATGAATGAGATGAGAGACAACCAGCAATATCACTCTGTAGCTATCAACCACACAGATACAAGATCCCTTCTGTACTGAATATAATTGTCTGGCATTCCCCGTACTAAAGAGGTTAAAGCCTGCTGCATCATCCCCAAGTCAAGAATGTCCAATTCAAATTCTCCTTCTAGCTTCATCTCCCACCTCAGTAGTATTGTCCATGCTGAAATCAGGTCCAGTTCCTCCAGAATGCATTTATCCTTCCCTTCCATGACCCCTTCAAAATATAAAGAACCTCTCTGCCTACTATCAAAGCACCCAAACTGACACCCAAGCTTTTAGCTCTCACTAGAGGTTCTCTGTACAGTGCTGGAGGTGGAGGCCTTGACTGAGCACACTCCAGTAAACCTTCCTACAACCATCTACAATAACCTACAGCTTGGCCTTTTGAGCACAACAGTATATACTGTACTGTATCTTTAGTTTTAATCAGTATTCTTTTATCCTTTTTTATTGTTAGACTGGCCTGAGGATAATTTATTATGGCCAACAGAGGTTTTACTGTATAACTTCATACAATCTATATCTAAGAGTTACTGCCCACATTGCAATGAGAAAAAGCATATTAAAAAAATGACAAAACAAAATTTTCACAATTTTCTTTTTTCACATTATAATGTATAAATAACACTCGAGTAAAACTAAACTAAAATATGCAGTAACTCACTTTGTCTGTCCTTTTCTCTCTCCAGAGTACTCTGACCAGTGAGAGATATTCCATGCCTCCTTAACCCCAAGTCTGCTTGGTCTTTTGTTAAGTCTACCCCATCATTAATTTTAACAGTCTCCTCTACATCTAGAACTTTCTCCTCTTCCTCCTTGTCTATCTGTTGTCCACAAGAAAGTACATCTTCCACCTGTCCACATGAAAGAGCACTGTCCACCTGTGTACATGAAAGGGCACTGTCCACGTGTCCACATGAAAGGGCACTGTCCACGTGTCCACATGAAAGGGCACTGTCCACCTGTCCACATGAAAGGGCACTGTCCACCATTCCACAAGAAATGGTATCTTCAACTTTCACCTCAGGGTTGTATTCAGTTTCAACTTTACTGAGGTCATCATCCCCAACTTCTTCAGTTTGTGACTCTTGGTCTTTGGGTTTGTCTCTGGAATTTGAAATAAAAAATTCCTTGGGTAATGACAATGACTCTACTGCTACTTCTGTACTTATGGTGGTGGTAGCCTCCAGTTCTGAATTTGGTGGAGATTTACTGCATTCTGGCTTCTCTGTCACCTGTTCTGTACTTGAGGTATTTAACGTCTCAACCTTAGAAGTAACTTCAACTTCTGGTTTGGGGTCTACTTTCATTGGAGATCCTCGGTCCTCTAGAGTAAGAGAACAAGTTTCTTCTTTACTTGTGGAACTTTGAACCTGAACCTCGGTCTTAGATGATTGTACCTCAGTAGTAGAGGAGTCTTGTACTTCTGTGTTTGACGCTTGTACTTCTGTGCTGGTCTGTTCTGGTGTATCTTCAGGCAAGTTCTGACTGGTACTTTTAGTTAATGAGTCTTTTTTAGGAGTTTGAACAGCACTACTAACAGGACTAGAAGCTGGTGGGAAAGAGGCAGAAGTAGCAGTTGTTTGTACATTATCACAGGCTTGAATAGGTTGGGTTATTACACCATCAGAAACAGACAATTCTAGCGTACTAATATCTGACGTTGACACACTTGACACTGGTGCTTCACTTACAACAATATCATCACTTGTACCTATAAAGGGCTGTTCTATGCTACTGCTTACTTGTTCTGTTTCCAATTTTTCTGGTGCTATGCTTGTCTCAACTTTAATTTCCTGTTCTTGATTTTTGCCCTCTAAAACAGAAATATTTTGAACTTCACTTATAGTAGGTTGTAACTGACTGTGCCCAACATCACAGACATCTTCCTTTTTCACAGAAATATTAGTTATCACATCACTAACTGGCATATCTTCCTCATCAATTACCTTAGCCTCCCTTTCCTTCTCACATTTGTCCTTTTCATGGAGGCTCCCCGAGATGGTTGCAATCATCTCTTGTGGTGGTGGAGCAGGGATGGCTACCTCTCCTAACCCTGACCCTTGTTCCACTGACGTTTCTTTTGTGTCCACTTCATCTGTTTTTTCTTTACTACAAACACTTTTCTCGTCACTTTCTTCAGTCTCACCAGTACATTCCTTTACCTCTTCTCTCTTTTCCTCATGTTTCAAATTGGTCATTTCAACTTCCACTGTGCTATCTCCTTTGGTTTCTTCCTTTTGTGTGTCGGTAATTTTATTGCTTTCTCCAGAGGATTCACTGCTCTCATCAACATGCAAATCTGTTTTACCTTCAGGCTCCAGCTCCTGTGTCACCTCTGTAGAAGAAAGAGTGGTTAAATCAGAGTTTTCCTCATCAGATGCTTCCTTCTTATCCTCATCCTTCTTTTCTTCTTCGTCTGACTTATTATCATCGTCAATTTTACTGCTTTCTCCTTTCTTTGGAGTATCACCATCTTTTTCTTTAGCTATATCTTCAATCTTTACACTCTCCTGTTCCTTTTCAGGCTTATCAATCTCTTCCCTTTTGATTATTTCCTTTTCTGTTTTCTCTCCACATTCTTCTATGGTTTTATTATCCAATGCTTTATTATCCACAACCTCCACACTGCTACTATTCATTACTTCTATACTTTTTGTACTCTCTTGATGGTCAATAGTAATTCTGTCTTCATCAGCTTTTGCAGACAGATCACTGGCATCTGTTGGTTTTAAACCAATGTTGGCAATTATTTCTGTGTGATGAACAGACAAGTCTTCTTCCTCAACTTTCTTTGTCTCTTCAATATTCTGATCTACCTTCTGAAGAGCAGGTTCTCTTGTTGTCTCTCTTAATTCATATCCCATAACTTTTTCTTCTATTGTTTCCCTTCCTTCACTTGATTCTTTGTGCAGTTGTTCATGATTTTCAATATCTTCTCTCTTCCCATGAGCCTCCTCCTTCAACACTGGTTCAATTTCTGCATCTTTCGGAAGCTCATGAACAGGTTCTGGTGTGTCTGACATCTTCCCATTTTCAATAGTTGGCATCTTTTCAGCTTCAATCTGAAAGAGCAGAATGTAATTTGTAAAACACATACTATGCATACAGGTACATATACTGTACAGGCATGCCTGCACTTTCCCACCCAAAAAAAAAAATAATAATAAATAAATAAAAACAGTACATACACTGTCTAAGATCAAAGCTATTTTACTGAAATAAAGTAATTTAACAGATTATAAATGTCTAACCTGTTTTTTTCATCAAACACAGTCATTCATACAACTCTCCACATGGGTCACACTCCATCACTGTCAGCCTCACCTGATGTCAGCAAATTATTGTCCATCTCACGATCAAGAGTATTTATGCCACACTAAATAATATACTAACCTACAAATGAACTAGATAAAAGATACGCAAATTAGTAATGAATTTAAATATTACCTTAATGTTAAACCTATATAACAAAAAGATCCACTTGGAAAACATTCCCCAGTTACTTATGAAAGTTACTAAATAATGCTACAGCAAAGAAAGAAGATTTTTTTAATAGTTCAATGCACATCTGATAGAGCAGCTAAAAAAAATTATTGGAAAAGCTAATACAGCCGAGCTTATGCTGCCCTTTATTTTATCTACCCAGTGCCCTAATGACAAAAAGGCTTGTATGAGTAAAGTAAAAAAAATATATATATAGTGTATATTTTTTTTTTAAATCTAACCTCTGATCCAGGTCCATTACGGTACATCTCTGTGTTGACATAATATTGTCTGCTTGCAGCTTGATCCCACCCTGAGATTGTTGAAATGGGACGTTGCTGCCGGATTGCTGGGTCTGTGATGTTGTCAGATCGATGACGCTCATATTGTTCATACATTTGAGCAAACTGAAGCTTGAATTCTTCATATGAAACCTACAAAATAATGAAAGTTACTTAAAAAGTAAAGCTTGAAGTTTGCATGTGAAAGCTGCTTTATAAGACTAAAGCATGGATTCTAGTAAAAACTTTGAAACAGGGAAAGAATTTTACAAGCACAGTTTCAAGCTTCATCTGGTACAATTAGTGAAATATTACCATTTTTCTTTTTTTTTTTTTAGAAAATACAATTGTAAATAATCAGTGGGGTACTGTAGTGTATATAAAGTACAGGTATTCACATCTGTACCTTTGAATGGACGATGGCCAAGGTATCAACCCACACCCTCCAGCCACCATATTCAAACTTGATTGCATGGTGAAGAAGCATTCGGAAGAGCGAGTAAACCATGTCACTAATCTTTTGTTCCTCTGTTGATCTTGGATGAATATATGCTAAGGCAATCAACCATTCCTGAAAATATATACAGGTGACAGGTAATTAATGTGAATAATTTGCCTTACATTCTAGCCAGGTATTTCAAATGGGATGATTTAGGAACAGTAATGAATCTGACTGATAAAAAAGTGACCACTTAATGTACTCACTGATGCTATATAATAAAGTAAGCAAAGTCTTATGAGTGAGAGGAAGAGCAATAAATGTAAGCATGTGATTATACCAAAAAATTAAGTAATAATTCAACACTTCAAAAATTTCAGCTGTACTTTTACATATCCTGGCCCAACTGTCAATTGTGCACAGATGATACATTTTGAACATCAAAACATAAAACTGTGACATACTGCTGTGTGCTTTACCTGCCACACTGACATTTGTAGAACAGTTCTACGATTGTCACGGTTGTTGTTACAGAGTAGCGTCATGTCTGAGAGGAACAATTTTTTTACTTCCATCAAACTGTCCGATGGTTTGCTCTGTCGTATTAATGTGGCACAAACCTTTAGGATCACTGCAAGAAAAAACAATACTTCTTATTATGAAAATGTAGCAACCAAGTTAAAAATTAATTTAACAAGTTAAAGAAGAATCCAGAGTGTTATGGAGAAATAAAGTGTTAGAGAGAAAAAAAAAATTACAGGGTAAAACATAAGTTTGAGAAATGTAATACTATACTGTAATATTTAGTCATGAACTATGAGGGCACACATTAGCATGTCCATGTGGCTCTAAAATAAAACATATAACTTTTAGCTGACTAGTTCATTTGAACTTAAAATTAGCAAACATTGAAATCCTTAATCTTAAAAGGTTTTAACACCTGTCCCATCCAAATTGGTTAAGAATGACCAGAGAATTATTCTCATGCCTCTCTGAATAATGACAGAATGGTAAGACATATAATCTCCCCCACATCTTTCTGAAGATGTGCTACTCACTTGGGTTTTCTAACTGGTAGTGTGATTCTGGTTCGGGATGTTTGCAGTATATCACTTGTTGGCTGATGTGCTCTGTCAGGATCTGTCAACATAAACAGGTAATTGAATAAACATGGAAAAAGTTACTTAGAAGGGGAGGGGGGACTGTTGGCAAGTTTTTAAATTCTACCCCTTAAAAATAATAAAAAACAAGTTAATAAAAAATTTGCAACAGTTGCTTAGTAAGGAAATCCACCAAAAACAATAAGCAATATATAAAAAATAAAAGATAAATGACAATAACATCATATTTACAATGCACACACACATAATGTACCCTGTAATTTAATTGAAGATTTAATATGCTATGCCAGGTAAGGATTCTTTACTCCATTTAATGCACATGAAAACAGTAATGATTTAAGATCAATAATAACACAGAAAAGGCTTTCTAAAAATTTAACCCAAAACATTAAAGTCAGTTATCTTACCTCATAGAGACAATTGTAGGTTGACAGGGTGAGCGTTTCCTCATGGACCAGGAGCCTCTCAGCAAGAAGTGTGTACAGGTTGTGGGGGTTCATGACGTCGTACTTGCGCCTAAAATGAGCCATGACGTCATCATGTTCACTGTGGACCAGCCACCATCTGGACGGCGCATTGGTGGTGGTGGTATGATGTATGTGGTGGTGGTGGTGTGATGTATATGGTGGATGTGGTAGTATCATAATTTTCATGTAAATGGTTTTGGTAGTGTTGATCACATCAGTAGTGGTGGCACCAGTAGTGGGAGTGGTGGTGGTTGGAGTGGTTGTGGTGGGAGTGGTTGTGGTGGGAGTGGTTGTGGTGGGAGTGGTTGTGGTTATGGTGGGAATGGTTGTGGTGGTGGTTGGGGGCAGAACCGGCCAGGGTAGAGGGGCACAGGGGAGAGAGGGACACGATCAAAACACTCACACAGCACTCCCAATTCCCCAAGACTCAAGCGGTACCAAGCTCAAAAATATAAATTAAAAAATTACACTAATCATAAAAAAACAGAAGTTATCTGCTAAATCAAAACAATCATCTCTGCATAAGGCACAAAAAATTACAGTGTAAACAATATGTCAAAGAGGAAACAAGTTAATTTTTCTCAGTCTTGGAACATGAAAAACCTCTAGCCTACAAAATAAAATGTACCGCTCAGTCTACTTCTCTCACAATTCCACCAGACAGGATATACAAGGACACTGGGGCTTGAAAATTAATAATCAATATTTGAAGAAAAAAATGAGTAAATTTATAAACTAACTTGTATTATTAATGTTCATACAAAAAACTAAATGGTTGTGTTATTTTTATATGTAGAAACATTATACATATATATTTACTGTAAATTTATGCCTTTGACATCATTTGAAACTAATGAAGGGATTATTCACACAATACTAGGGATGTCTGTTTATCTGGTGTGTTTGTAAGCCAGTGGGCAATGGAATAATATATGTAGAATAAAGGCAAACAGGAAAGTCAAGGGTACCAATATTGTAAACCACATAAAAAGTAGGGTAAGGATGTGCACAATCATTTGAGAGCTTCAAGACAGGATATACAAGGGGCAAACTTAAAGCAAAATTAAGAGCAAAATCTGCTATACAATAAGAAAAAATCCCAAACACTGCTATGTATACTTGTATTTGCTTCTCACTTGAAGAGGTCTGTTAAAAAGTTTGACACATTACCAATTATTTTGTCCCCTGATATATGAAATTTTCTTCAAGTATACAGTGAACATTATAACAATATCAAGCACCAGCACACAATGACTCATAACAGTGAGAGCAAGTAGTGTTCTAAGACTGCAGACACAATAAGCTAAAGTGAACCACAACCACTACATTATATAGTACCGGTATTTATTACACTTTGAAGATTCTGGCTATACTACAGTGCAATCTATTGCTGGGTGTATGATGTGAGACAGTACCTGCATAACTATATGTTGGGGCATCTGAGAAGGGTGTATACCCCCACCTCAGAGTTAGGGGTAATTTTGTGAAAATGGCCCGATGATTGGAAAAAGATGTTTCTGAGTTTTCACAAACACAAATCACAGTGGATTTTAATACAAAATTCAGATAAAGTTATTTTTTTCAGTAACTTCTGCTTTACCATAATCCAAACATGCTAAACAGCAGGAGCTTTGGCTCAGGTTTGGTGTTTCCTTGAAATATATTAAGATGAAACTGTTCCAGTTGTCCATTCAACATGCAAAGTGATATGATTCAAGTGCTTGAAGGTGATGCCCAGCTAGCAAAATACCAGGCAGAAATTTTGAGTGCTTGGTAGGTCAAAACCTTGATAACTAAAGCACTATAGAATGAGGATCACCCTTGTTTCATACAGCCGAGTCAATGTGTAGCCACTCCTCAAAAACCCAGTGGTAGCAAGGCATCAGAGGTTTACAAAGAAAAGTAATAATCATTTCATCCCAAAAAGTAAAATATAGAATATTCTTACTTTCACAATCATAGCTCAGACATTCATAATTTAAGGGGGATGGCATGCAAGGCATACTAGTGTCTTGTGTTGAGTAGCGTGGAAAACAAGTGTAGAAATTAGGCCATAACCACTCACTGATCTGCAATTGTCTCTGCTCTGCTTGAGAACGAATTTCAATTGTTTAGATTCCATACACACAGTGCTTGGTTAAATTTACTGCATGCTTACTTATACAGAAATGAGAGAGAATATAGAATTGCCAATGAATAAAATGGTCAAGAGACATTCCCTTGAAATAGCCAAAAGAGTCTGTGTTGCAAACTGTGTACACATACAATAACTGGAAATAAAGGCTTTTTTATTTGAAATTGCTTAAAACTATAACTAATATAAGTATATACATACAAATGTATTAACTTCATGGCCATGCAATAATGTTTTATATCAAACAATGAAGGTCATACTCAAATCTGATTGTAATGTAAGGAAGTACATTTAAGTTTCTTAGGATAAACACCACATTATAGTGTTAATAAATCATTTTGCTTGCTGCAAGTAGTCATGAAACAGGAAAACAGTTAAATAATGTTCATAACTAAGTAAAATCACACACACTAATAAATACTAGATAAGTTTTCAAAAGACTTAATACTCTTGGAAGACAATACAATATGCTCATAATCAACTTAGAAAAGCACCTCTAAGTCATTCCAGAAATTCATTGCATACCAGATTACCATTCAAGCTTATATCAAATCCTAATAACATTCAAAACTTACTGGAAAATATAAAAGCACTTAGGCTGATACTACCAAAATATTTATTTTTCCTCAAAACAATTGATGCTTGAGATCAACTTCACCATGACTTTAACAACTAAACTCACTCCATTTACATGTTATTTCTTAAATTTCTTTCATGATGTATATTGGTTGATCTACTTTCCCTACTCATAATAGCAAGCTGATCTCAAGTAATGCTTATAAAGTTGGCTGTAGAGTTCATACATACTTGTGAGTGGATCTTGAGAGAAAGTAGCCAAGCAGCTTGAGGGCCTGAAGGCGAATCAATTGACTCTCTGAGGCCAAGAGTTTGAAGACTGTGCGAACCCCATGTTTGGCATCAAAAGCTGGGACCATGGAGGATGGGTGTTCTGACATGAGTGACATGAGCATCTGTAGCACATCATGCAGGTTCTCATCCTAGTAGTTACAAAGAAAAAAATATATGATGAAGTAATTGCAGAATCTGGCAGCTATGTGACAGTTCTAAAAATGGATAATTGTGCAATATTGTACTGCAAATCTTTTTCATTTTAGCAAGCATTCACTCATTACGACACAGGAAGGCTGGAATAAAGGGTATCACAGGTTCTCTTCATTTGCTCACTAAATAACAGCTAAGAAAGATGTATTTTGGCCTGTTGTTTCCCTTCCACAAAAATGCCCTGATACAGCAATCTGGTTTCCCCAAGCTGCTTTATATAACAGTAACTTAGATTCACCCAACAGAAAAAAAATACGATAAACTTAAAATCAGATATTTACAGCTCATGAAACTTAAACAGAATTATTCATTCACAACAAAATGGGATTCCTAGGATTATGGTAAATACGTGGTTTGCACAACTCACAATGAGCTGTTAACTCAATTGGAGACTTTAATGATAACAAATATTTATATGAACATGGAAATAGAACCCTTGATACTCAATTACTTTTAATATGAAAGATCAGATGGCAAACTAACCCCACTTGACCCTTTGCTGACATATCCCATAACAGGTGTGGTATTTTTGGGTCCCAGCACACTAAACATATACCATAGCTGTTACATTATATTTTTGGTGGCCCACTTTAAATTTCCCAAGCTTTGTTTTTGCTGAGCAACTTTGTGGAGCTCATTAGCATTGGCTTGACCATGGTTGAGTCAAGACATACCACATCTAGTTGTGTGCGGCCCCCACACAGGAGGAAACGAACTCCATTAGTGTACTGTAAATTTGATTCAGGAGACAAGGATAACCCTCCTATTCACAGTGACAGTGATATAAGTGAAGATGGTGAACTGACTAGTGATTCTATTGAATTTTAAAGAAATTTGAGTAGCAATAATGAGGAATGTTCTTTCAGTTGTAGAGTAGCTTCCATTTCCACCTATGTGGCTCCCACATGGGACTGGGGTGATTCTTTGTTTACTCCCCCAACTGCTGAAATTTGATGGTGAAAATCAGGAGATTATGGCAAGATTTATTTTTCGATATTCAGCCATCCAGAGGGTAATGACCATAAGTTGCCATCACCATCCACAGTGGGTTAAGAACACTTGCAAAGTGCAAGAAAGACTATTCAAATTACTAAACATCATATCCTACCATGAATGATATAAACATATTCTTTCAACCTAAAAACAATAAACCTTTCTTAACTCTGACTGGATAGTAATACAATTAATAATTTTAATAATTACCCTTAAAGGGGCTTTGACTGATTTTTCTTTCACTTAGTGTCCTAAGATCACATCACATTGCAATAGGACTGATGACACTTGAGAGAACTTTTATTCCTGAGGATAGCAATTTTACTTACAGTTTTGTCTTCTGAAAGGAATTTGCCATCTGACAGAAATATCATACCTGTTATGAGGAATTAAATCATAAATCTGCAGGGGAAAATTAATCTACCAAAGATTCAGTCCTGAAACACTCGAGAAAAAGAGGTACAGTATCACAATCATTCTTGGATCTTTTTTATAATGACAATACTGCACTTTCAAGTGTAAAATAAATTCACTTTCACTTTGAGAAAATGTAAGAAAGTGTAAGTGATGTTTGCCTTAACCTTGAGATTGTAGGGGACAGTGCAAGAGTTACAGTATTAACTTAAGAAATATTTTGTGTGATACTGCAATGGCTGATTAAATTCAGCTTTGAGAGATTGTGGGAGACAGTGTCAATGATACTAGCTTCAGGTTTGAGACATTGTGAGGAAAATATAAGAAAATGTTAAGTTTAGTTTCAAAAGATTGTTGGGAGAGTGAAATGGGTATTATATGTTACAGGGAACTTGTGTAACCAGTGATTTCACATAACCCCTAGGGATTATGTGAAATCACTGGTTACACAAATTCCCTGTAACATATTATAAATTTGAAAAGATTATGAGAAATTGTATGACATGTTTAGTTTTAATTTGGAGAAGTTAAATACCTGTACAAAATAAAGAATTATGCTATTACAAACCTCATGCATGGTGGAGAGAAAATTAAGAATTGCCTGCAACTCATCCTCCTTGACACCATTGCCAATCATGATCAGCTGTTTGAGAAATAGCAGCATGTATGCACGTAGACTGACAATGTCCTTGTCACTGGGTCGTGGACCATCTGGGAAAGAACATACACTAATAAAGAGATTTCCACCAAAATGGTACACAGTTGCAGAGGATGAACTACCCCTAGTCAAAAAGAAACACTGATCTTCAAAAAATTAACCAAAGACTTGGACAAGATACTTTTATAAGGCATCACTCGACTTTCAATACCAAAAAAACTTGAAAATGACTGGATTGTCTCTGTTAAAGAATGAAACATAACAATGAAGAAAACCTTGAAGGAACAGACTTCAGAAACATGTTATAAATATTACTACCGGGTATACCGAGATACTGGTTGAGTTCAGGAAAGCATTTAAAACAGTTTAGAGGAATGTCAACACAACAATTGCAGTAACTGTCATACTTGTGCCATGGTAGGTGTCCCAGTGGACAAGTTCATTAAGGCAGCCCCTTAAAAACAGGATGAATAATTGCCAGGATGACATGTCCCTGAGATGTAAGGTTATTTCAGTCCATCTCACATCAAAAAACTTAGGCAACCTCATCAATTAGAGGCTGTTATCTGCAGTCACAATCCAGAGATCAAAAGGAACAAACACAGAAAAGGCACATCCCAACCAGGTGCTTCATGGGTTAATGAATAGAGTGTAACTAAGACTCAGTAGATATACAGAGGTATATTCTATTTCCATATAAATGAAGGTTCTTAAACAGAAAAACTCTGAACTAATCCCAGACATAAAAAAGAACTGATCAATTTGGCCTCTGGCAGCTTAGCCTGTATAAAATGAAAACTGTGAGCCTAACCATCATAGGGACAGCTGATCTACTATCATCAGAAGTCATATCAAACAAAAAGAGTTGATTTGTGTACCTTAACTGTCCAAAGAGTGAAAAAAATATAAATTTATTCCAAGTAAGATGAACTTACCAAGACCTTTTGGGTTTATTCCACTCTTATCCCTGGGATTAACTACCCAATAGTAGTACTTGAGTGTGTGCATTGTTTGCAATACTGTGGAAACTCTACGGACTGAACCATAAATCTGTGCATCAGACAGGAACTCTGTGGCCAAGTAGGTGTAGAGTCGCATTTGAACTGCCACCGGAGAGTAGATCCACAGTGATGGGTTGAACAGAATGTGATCCAGGAGCTACAAAAAGAATGAAGTAGAAAGTATGACAAATTACTCTCAAATCTCTTCTAATAACTACTGCTACATTTCATTTATAACTATACAGGCATTTATATATCAGTGTATAAAACAACCTACTTCATATCAAATTTTGGTGCATCAAAAATAGAAGTAGAAAGAAAATCACTAATTAACTTTCAAGAAAGTAACATCATTACACACCTGCTTCAACAGTAAATCGGAGTTTGAATTTGGACATGTAACAAGGAACTTCGTTAACTTGAGGAAGGCAGTAAGAACGTCCATAGTAACATGATGTCGTGATGCACGGTGAAGTAGGTGAGAGATCACCAGAAACCCCCGATTCTGAACCATGTGTTGCTGAACTGTGTTGCAGCTTTCAACCATCTCACAGATGAACCCAACCAAGGTGGAACTGAAATAAAAAAAAAAGTAGTTTTATCCATCTGTGCTGTAAATTCTTTCATCCACCAGTGCTGTAAACATTATTTCCTGCAAGAAAATTCCTGCATCCATCACTAATTACATCTCCACTCAAGCTTCTATGTCCCTAAGAGCAACATTTAGGACATCTACTAAAGGTTATTGCAGGAAATTTTGACTATAATTTTGGAAACATAAATTAGGGTTATATCAATTTGTATCTTTTATATCATTATTTCTTTAGAGGTGAAACTAAATGGGCATTTCTTGTAACAGGTAGCTACTGTACTATATTAACTGTTGCCATAGGTTGAAATACAGTACAGTATATGAAAAGTCAAATTGAGGATATTACTGTACTTGATATGGACAAAAATACTTTATAAATCAAACCTGTTTATGCAATGATTTAATACATATACACTTCATAATTCAGGGGTGTATTCCTGAGGCATACATAGGATAAATGACTCCATGACCATAGTGACATTACCCCATAGTTTCAGAGATATACCACAAAATTGGGTATAAGAGGACTGTAAGAAGTCTATGATTAGAATAAAAAAATGGGTGGTGCAAAATAGAATGACAAAAATGAAGCCAGGATGAAAATATATTTCTACAGTGTATGCTATCTTGTGTGGGGCTACGGTCCCATTATCACTGTACTAACAGAGGTGGTATCTCCAGTACTGAATACTGTACAATACAGTGTATATACCTTTTAATTTACCTTCCTACTTTATCTTATTTACCTATCCACAAATAAGTAATCAAAGGAACTACACAAAATAAGTTAACAGTCCCAGGATTTACCTCAGTAGGACAAAGTTTTGCAACCTTGCATAGGTTTAGCAACAGTTTTCAGCCTGAAAATTGGTTAGGAAATTTCTGTAATCTATGGGGTAATATAAAAGTGGTTAGTGTAATCAGCAACTCTTTGAAGCCAAGACAGGCCTTTTGGCCTACCATGAATTTAACATGTTTGCACAACTCAAGACTTGTCTCAGAATTGTTAGATTCAACAGATGACTGAAAATTAAAATGGATATACAGTAATAATGTATATGAGAAATTCTATAAACCGATAAAGTACTTTAAATGTAGAAACACTTATAAAGAGAAATGAAGAAAATGAGAGGTCTTGATATGCTGGGAATGAAGATGAGAATGTAAGGTGAAAAAAGGTAAATATAATTCTTAATGGAAGGACTGAGGGTATCTTGCCTGAATTTAGTTTCACCCTGAGATCTGAGCAAGCAAGTAGAGTTCAATTGATGAGAGAATAATATCTATCATTACTATCATCATTAATCTCCTCGAGTTAAATTCCACAACTGAAGAAGCAAATAGGGAAAGGTTAAATTGGTTGGCCCTCTTGTAACAAGGATGGCCGGCCCTTGGGTCACCTTGGCGTTAATTTATTTGAGGTGTAGAAGCTGTCGCCAACACAACAACCACACCCTAAGTTAACAAGTTGCATGACCCAATGTCAAGGAATAGTCCGAGAAGACCGGATAACTCGCCAACTGCACTGGATAACCATTACCCCAGAACACAATCTGCAAATCGATTAACATCCAGGTTCCGAATTACTGTTGGGTAGACAGGGGCAAATGGTGTAAGGAAACTTGCCCATAGTTCCACCCTGCTCTGGGATTGAACCCGGATCCGCTCACTTGTAAGGCGAGCATGCTGACCATTACACCACAGATCGCCACAAGGTTATACTGCAATTGAATCTCAATAAAAGAAATAAGTTCAGACAGCAAGGAATCTAACAAGCTACAGTATCAGCCTACCAGAAGTCTACACCTAGATGACAAAACTGAACCTTTTCAAAACATTCAGTACCAAGACAAACTCACCCTAGTGAGGGGTCTTTGTTGGTGTTGTAGTAATCATTGATGGCTGGGGGTGTGTCATGAGGCAGGTCAAGCTGTTGAAACAGTGGAAAGAGCACCTGGATACCACCCATGCTGTTCAGAGTACTGTGGATGCTGTGAGTCACCACAGCTTTCACATCCTAAAACACAAAGATTGAAGTTATGCTTGGGAGGAAAAACCAGAATCATATAAAACTAAATTATCACTGGGATTATATTACATTATGAAAAGGACAGGTAACTTTAAGGATTGATTGTCCCTGAAAAACAATTTTCTCATGGGGGGAAACAATTGTTCCATTACATTTTGTAATAGAAGACTTCCAAGTGAGGGAAGTGCTAAATTACATACTGTAGTAGCATCTTCAATTCATTCATTATTACACAGCAAATTTTATTGCACATTCTTTTTGACCCTTTGATATTCTTTGAGTCCTGGCATCTTTCAGAAAGCTGAGCAAAGGGATATTTTTCTACAGTCATTTTCCATTAAACGAAAGCAATTCCTGGTGTAGGGAGTTGTGAGCCCTAAGTAGTGTGTTTATACACATATTCACTCTCTCTATGTAAGTGTTTACAGTACCTTACACATCATGTATTTTGTTATCTGTATTAATAAATCATGTTTTAATTCACACAGTTTGATAAGTGCTGCAACCTCACAGCTTCTAAACTCTGTATGATTTTCTGTTTGTCTGGTGAACTTTACCGTACTACAGTAAACACATGGAAAATGGGTCTATCCTTTATACAGTATAGTATTTCATCCTCTTAAACAGAAACACTAATACTGAACTGTATACTGTACAGCGGTTCTTTCCCACAACGAATTAATGTACACCTAGGAGACCAGGGAAATCTTAACTCCCAAGACATTTTTCATATTACTTCTTGATTGTTTATAAGTATATCAACTCCTGAGTAAAATTTTATATATTCCTGAATTAAGATAACATGGATAGCACAGATGACTCACCTGAAGCATGAGTGCGTGGGGGTTGTGGACGAAAAAGGACGGGTTACCCTTTGGGGCAGACTGTAGACAGAGTTGAGAGTCCGTGGCCACTGGATTATACATAAATACAATCGCAGCTGCAAGTTTGCCATCATACAATACCTGTCAAGAGAAATTCACCAGATAAGTACTGAATAGCTACTACAACCTTGACTGCACATATGTCTCAACTGCTCAACCATTAGTAGAGTGATGCCTGTGTCTCACCTTCCACCCCATGTATAAGTGAGGCAAAAAGGGTCAGAGCGATGTGACAGTAACAAGACAATGTTGCACATCAGTTGAAGGTACAGTATGTACTGCATTACATTGGGTTGAAAACCATATACTGTACAGTACAGTACTTTGTAGTCAAAATCCAGCTAAATTGGAGAAACAAAACAATTCTAGAGCCCTTTGAGCTTCAAACAAGACACAATAAGGCAGATCTCAATGAAACATTCAAAATCTTGAGATGGATGGTAAACATGAACCCGGGCCATTTTTGGTGATGTCGCGTACCACCAACACGAGATGACATAACTTCACGCTTGACAAATTATCATGCAGAACAACATAAGGAAATACTACTTCACACAGAGGGTGGTAAATCTATGGAATGGTCACCAGTTCAAGCTGTGGAACCGAAAACAGTACTGCATTTCAAAATACAGTACTCCTAGACAAAATTATCAAAACCAATGGAGGGATCCTACACAGACCACTGCCAACCTCTAGTGGGTGGCCATGAGGTAAAAGTTAGGTAAAGTCACCTGGCCCTGTGGATGTCTTGCAAGAGTACCGGTAATCTCAATTTCATTATGCCAAACAGAATTAGGGTGATCAGTTTATATACTCAAATGAAGTCAGCAAATGCTTTACCTGAATTGGCAATGTTACTGCCCAAATATTCGAGCTATTACACTTCATTTTGCAAGGTTAAAGAATTACACTTTACATGATTATTCATGGTGTTGTATGGCCCATTAACGGAGTCAGTTACTAATGCTATCACTTATCACTAAATAGTGATGTAGCACAATATAGTACATTATGTATCAATGTAAACTGTTGTCACCTTATACCTACACAATAATAACAGTTATGGTAAAGTAGTATATAAAAGCAGTCAAGCAGTCACGAATTTATGTACAATATCTCTTGAATTACGTATGTGCAATCAACATGTGTAGTATTTACAAATAAATCATTGATCATGCACTGTAGCTCATGAATCTCATGTAATAAACATGTATGTCACACACAAACACAAAATATTTATGTACATATTATTATCATATCACAAACATATATGTACAACAGTAAAGAAAGGATATGACTGTATTCCAGTGGTTCACTGCTTCAAAGGTTTTACTATACTGTACTAAACTTTCAGATCAATAGAGCTTCAGGCCAATGACTCACTGGAACATAGGCAAGTCCCCCTCCTCATTAAAGAAAAAAGGACAAAAACAAAATGAGCGCTCCCCCTCACAAAAGCAGCGGATATGCGTACTTGGCTTACCCTCTTGTGGTTTTCTGGTAGTTGAAGGTAACTTTCATTGTCAAACCGGAACTGACTCTGTGTGGGAGATAGAGAGAGACCGTCACCCATGCTGTTTCACCAATACAGTTTGAAGGAGTTAGGACAGCAAAACAAGAAAAGAAAGACTTCCTATATGGAGGTTAAAACTGAAGGTTAAAATGCAGAAGCAATCCACCACTTTAAGATATTCATGTATAATAACCGAATTATTACTATTAAGCAGCATTAGAAAAAAATGTATATACCGTACTAGATTTGTTAAATTACTATACTGCATTGTCTGTGATATATTTTACCAGGGAAAAATTAAGTGCATATAGAATCCCAGAATGTAATTAGAGAGAATAGAAAGTGCCTGAAAAAGAAAATACCAAAGTAAAGATTTTGCAGTACAGTAATTACACAAGCATCAATATTGAAGTATTACCCAGAACAGAGCAGCAAACCTATTTAGTTTTTTACCACATAAATTACCCAAGCCTAACCCAAACTATCTTAGGTTTAGTTTGGTTTAATTCAGATCATTTGAGTTAGAAAAATGGTTAGCAGTCCTGTTCTTGTAACTCTAATATTGGCCATCTTTCATGCTGTACCAAGACCTGGTTTATCAATGCTTAACATACTGTACTAAATCAGATATGAATTTAAAACCATGACCCCAGGTTTTGAATTGTATAAAATTTTGAGACAAAAGCCATGAGTTGGTTAGTTACACTTTTTAGAATGTTTGTGTCATGTAAGCTTTAATACTTTATCATGTTTGAGATAGATAAGCTTGAACAAAAAAGTACAAAACATACCTGTGTTGGATAAGTTTTATCACCGACTACTGTACTATACGGTACCATGCCTGTGTTTGATAAACTTGAACATTATTAACCACGTTAGATAAGCTTTAACAACCTAATCTACATCTAAAGAAACAAATCTACGAAGACATGGCTGCTACAGTATTTCAAACCTATTAATGTAGTTCTGACTGAAATAATTAACAAAATGATGACTGTTACAGAACACATTAGTTGGGGATTACTGTATGTTAAAATGTACTGTACTGTAATATATACAGCGGTCCGACTAATTACCCAAATGTAGCCAAATATAGCCGCAATGAAGTCAAATAATGGTCCTACATGAATAAATCGGACTGTTAATCACTTCTTGACTAGTATTTGGTGTCAAAAAGTCACAAAAAATTGGAAAACTTACTTTAATCTGAGTTAACAGATCGCGTGCATGTACCGACGGAGCGAGGAATTACCCAAATGTAGCCAAATGTAGCCGCAATGAAGTCAAATGATGGTCGTACAAGCGTAATTCGGGCTGTGAATCACTTCTCGATTATTATTTGGTGTCATAAAGTAAAAAAAAATTGGAAAACTTAATTTAATCCGAGTTGTGTTGTGTTAGGTTAGGTTAGATTAAATTAAATTAGATTAGGTTAGGTACATGCACTTGATCTATTAACTCAGATTAAATTAAGTTTACCAATTTTGTGTGACTTCGTGACACCAAATACTAGTCGAGGTTAGGTTAGGTTAGGTTAGGTACATGCACTCGATCTATTAACTCAGATTAAATTAAGTTTACCAATTTTTTGTGACTTTGTGACACCAAATACTAGTCGAGAAGTGATTGGCAGTCAGATTTATTCATCTAGGACCATTATTTGATTTCATTCCGGCTGTATTTGGCTACATTTGGGTACATTTGGGTAATTAGTCGGACCCGTAATACAGTACATAAGTTGAGTAAATTTAGTCGTGGTATACCGGGTACTGATGATTGTTGTTGTTTGAAAGTATTTGGGCGTTTTTATGGTAAACAACTTTTTTTTTAAATTTGACTTTTCGCAAGTTTAGTAAAAGGGGCGGGAGGAGTTACACTGTAATCAGGGGCTGGATACTCAAAAATAATTAAGATGTCCCATTTCCCAGAGTTGGTCATAACTTGAGCACTTTTTTTGCTGCGACTCAATATTCAAAACAAAATTGGCCCTTGGGCACACCCATGTTTGATGACTTATGTCACACAAACTTACGACTACTCAGGGGGATGTTATATGTAACCTTTGAAGCCCCATCTTCCTCAGCATTGTTACAACGAATCCAGGAAAAAAGTCAAGAAAAAGTCAGATAAAAAAGCACGGAAAAAACCTAACCAAAGCTAACCTAACTTAACCTAACCTAACCTACGTGCAATGCCATCATATATATATATTCTGTTGTCAATGTGTACAAGTCATGTGACTTTTTTCCTGTGGACTTTCTTTCCGTCGACCGTTACAACTACAGTACACTGCAGTACAGTATTCAAAATACATTGAAAGTACAAACTGAAATACAGACATTTGCAAGTGAAAGTATAAAGATGCAAGAGCTAAAATAACCCATGAATAAGGTGAAAAGATGCCCAAATAACCACAAATTGTTGTATCCATAGACGATTATGTTTTGTACAGACCACACCGCCGACAGGCTACATGAACAATCAGCATCTTGTGGTGTTCATGGAATTAGATAGGGGTTGGGTGTAAACGGGACTGCCCAGTATGGGTCAATAGGCCCACTACAGTTTCCTCTATTCTTATATGTGTTTGGCTGTGCCCTGTGCAGGGAAAGAAGGTACTGTACTATTGTGGACAAAAGTTCACTCCTTCCCAAAGTGGAGCAGTATCGACCCTCACAGCACACCCGCACCAGGGTCAGTCAGGGTCAGTCAGTTCGGAGACTCATTCCCGTGTCTCAGTTGGGAGCGAACTTTTGTCCACGATAATACAGATCTACTCGATCCTTTGTAAGTTAGAGATTAACATTTGATTCGTTACCATCAATTTCCTCGCCAAGAAATTATACAGTGTGAGAAGAACCACATATACAACGCAAACAAGGATATCTCACGTCATCCCGACACACATATAGATTTTGATGGCTCTACGCTTCTACAGCAGTGTAAGTTTTCAAAGTGTATATAATTAGAAATTACCACAAGATTGACCCAAGCCAGTTGAAGCATGTTTTGTATGGAAAGGCAAGCAGAGAAATAAAGATGCCTACAAGTGTAGTGAACATTGTTAAAACAGTGCAGGATTTTAAGTACAGGTATTCACAATGCATTTTAATAAATTAAATCACTTTTTACATCTTTTATTCATCCTCTTGTTCCTCAGTGCAGTAATATGGAGCAGACAGGTTAATGTTGTGATTCGCTGAGCAGTCCCCCATAGTTGGTAGCTGTGCTGGGATTGGTTGACACTACTCGACAGACCGTGAGGTAGCTAGACGACTGTGACGCCATTTACTGCGTCGTATATCGCAAAGGATAATAAGATACTGGTATTTCGTAGCCAAGATGTAACCACCATATAACGTGATAACTTTCCTATAAAAGACATCTTAAGGTCACAGCTTCCTTAGTCTCATATTGCTCGCCCTACAGGTCATAACACTGTTTACAATTTTGAGTATCCCGCTCCAGTTCTGGCAAGTAAAACGACGCAATAGGCTATTTAACTGACAAGTTTGTTTATCTACTTAGGTTGTGAGTTGGTGTTTCATCTGTAAAACCAAAACATTTAGTAAATATATAAGCATAATGAAGACACTTTGTATGTCAATATTGTGTTCTCCTTGTGAGGTTTTATAATGTTACGTATCGCCTTATAAAGTTTTTTCTCAATAGCCTTGATTGCTTGAATTCCAGAAATTCGACATTTACTCTTACTTAAAATCCTAATATAACATCGACTGACATAATTTGTTAGCAATGTCAGGTTAAAATTTATAATTTCCGGGAACAGATTTCTAAGATTTAAATTAACTTCAACAACTTTTCCACAAGGCTATAGATGACAAATAATAGGACTACCATCAATATTGTTATCGACTTTTTTTTATCAATAAGAAAACCTTATATTCCTGGAACAAAACTGTAAAAAGTTCATATATTTCTCGCAAGTGGAGATGTAAGAACACATCGGACTAACAAAACAACTTCCTTGATAACCTCGCCCCTGGCATACCCTACTTCGGGGAATAAGTCGAATTTAAATATTGTTTCGAGCATTGTATCACGTAGTCTTAGGTGGGTTATGGGCATTGTTTGGCAGTTTATTGTTTGTCAAGAGTATAGCGGATTTTCTCCCTAATTGGCCGCTAAAATAAACCCTATATTAAAACAAAAACAAAGTATATTTTTTTTCATCGCAATACACACTTGAATACAAAATATAGAACAATTAAAGAAATAATGACAAATATTCATGACAAAATTAGTACTGTACTTCAACAGGAGAAAAACGGGTTTCACGCGTATGACCTACGTCTCCATCATTGTCCTGTTACAACCGTTAATATGCACCACACCTTCAAGCAAACTATCAAAACAAGACGACAATAATGCACTCGTGTGAAAATTTATGTTACCATTGTTCCCGCGGGCATGACGCACTAACACCCAGTCAACCAACACTGGTGAGCTAACTTTCGCTAAAGCCATGAAACGCGTCATATTGCTCTAAAAAGTTGTACAAATTTGACAGGTATTGAATGACGATTGACGGCAGTTGACTGGCTATTTCGTTGACCAGAGGGATGCAGGAAAATTTTATTAAATTAATGTCATAAATACTGTATACTAAACTACTTATAAAATTAGTCATTTCCCCGCGTTGATGAGCGAAGCAGCCAAGCTGTATACTGTATGTACAACAAGGAAGTACAGTACTTCCCCAACCAAGCCTGTACAAATGACGTAACTCAGCCGGATTATAATATACGAAACGGCCACATTCACCTGTTTTTAGCAAGACATTAAAATTTCTGCGGTAAATTACGAGAGAAAAGTTAAGGTAGATTGTCAAAATGGCGCAACACAACACGACAGAACAATAAGCTACGATTATTTTCATCTTTTTAAAGAAATATTGCAGCATAAGTATGAATACAAAGGTAATTTCATATTTTGTGGGTTTACAACATCCAATATATTCAATGACGTCACTATGTTATGAAATTACGCTAAAGCAGGGAACAACG